AGGCAGCTTATGACGGCCCTGGTAATGTTCGTTCAATTTGTACTGATGGTAGAACTTTTTCGGGCACAGGGTGCAACAGAACTTCTTCTCCTTGTTCCCGCACTCGACCCTCTGGTGCCTCAGCAGGCTGTCCCGCCACTTATACCTCTTCCCGCAACCGAAACAAACGTTGATCGCGCCGCTGTCGTTCCGCGAGCTCTTCCCTTCGGCTTGTTGCTGTTGCTGATGTTGTTGCTGATGCTGGGACTGGCCGCCGGCGGATGCGTACTGCTGAAAAGTCGAAGAGATGGCGTACGGCAGCTGCAACATGGCTAACGTATCTGAAATCGAAAGAGAGAAAAGCGGCGTTTAGTGATCGTCCCCGGAACATGTTCTCTGATCTAATTGAAAATACGCGCGCGAGAGAGAGAGGCTCGCTAGATAATCGGATCGCGCTGGTAGCATCGTTCTCTTTTTTTTTTACTGATCGACATGACAGAAACGCGGCGACATGACACACAGTTGCACAGTTTTCCTTTTCTTTTTTATTATTATTATTATTATTATTATGTGTTCCTTTCGACGTTTTACAAATCGGACGCCTGCGTCGACGAGAAAGCGTCGCCATCGAGCGACGCGCGAACGACGATAACAAAAAAAGAGAAAAACTGTCGAGCGAATTTGTCACTCAACGCGAGAAACAAAAGCAGCTGCTTCGCGGATCTCGAGGTTATTGATCTCGTATTTTTTTATCGGTTCCCCGAAAACGAACTGTTTTTCAACGAAGAGACGAGAATTGAACCGGCGCGAACGTACGACAAAACTCGAAAGAAGATCGATGACGGAGAGACGATTACAAACAAATGAACAAATCGTAATTAAATACAGGGCGTCCCGGAGAGCGCGGCAGCGCCGCAAAGGGATGATTTTCCTTGGATTTATCCTTGAACGTCGGCAGCGTCCTCGAGAGGGTTACTTTTTTACGGCGATCGTAGACGCGCGCTCGACGCCTTCGAATCGATGCAGATCTGTCGAACAAAATTTCCCGCACAAGCGACGGCCATATTTGTTCGTGTGTTATTAATTAAATTTTGTCCATGGATCGCCGCGTCCTATTCTACTCGTCGAGAGGAGCGAACTTGCTAAAAAAAGGAACCGTTTCTTGTTCACCGGCTTCGCAGATGTCTTCTCGGACAGCCGCAGCGTTTCTTAAATATTTAAGAATATCATTCGTTATTATTATATTAAAAATATTCAGGATTCCACGAGCCGACGTCCGATCCGCGTCGCCCCAACCTTCCTGAAAGATTCAAGCCGCTTCAAGAGCGACGCGACGAAGCGGCGGCCGACAAGATGGCGGCTGGATTGCTCGCGCTCGGACTCGAACGTTGAGAACATGTTCTGTTGGTCACAGCTGATTTATTTTCCATGGCCGAACCGAAGGCCGATCGAGGTACAAAACGCGATCGAGCCTCGCGGATCGATCGTTAATTATCGTACAGTGTCACAAATGTTCGATGATTCGCGCGCATTAATTGTCATCGACACGCACATTTGCAATCCGCGTCGAATCGTTCGAGACAAGCGAAAAGTCGCGACAAGGCTCGCGGATCGCATTTCGTCGAATTTTGCAAGTCGGAGTATCGTTGTGTTCGATTAGAAAGAAGAAACAAAAATGAATTGACACCGAGACGCATCTGACGAACGATTATGCGAACGCGATCGTTCAACTGCGGATCCGTTTTCTTATTCGAATTCGCATTTTCCTGCTATTAGAAGGTGATATATCACAGTAATAGGTGCATAGGGCACAGTAATAGGTGCCCGTCGCCCGTAAATGGGCGACTTTAATGTTTTATTTGAATAGCATTTTCCGAGCAATTTGTACAAATCACGATTTATGAGCTTTTGGATTCAGATGCTTTTCGCATGATATTGCTATCATTCCAGTAATGATAGTAACCTTATCGCTAGGTTTATCAGCCGAGATCGGCGAATTTTGGGCCCCGCGAGAGAAACTCGACGGACGCGCGTCGAACGCGTTTTGCTTCGCAAATGAAATTCGAATCGGAGATTCGATCTTTTTTGTTGCTTGAGACAGCTTTTAAGCATCGGGGAAAGAAATAGTCGAGTGAAAATGCTGTTCGAAATATCGCGCGGATGTCGCAGATGATCCGCAGTCCAGCGATCGAGATTATGGTCGTTTTCCACGATTTCAGGCGCCGATCGAGCAATATGAAATGCTCGGGAAACAATTGTTATCGTTTATATGTCGAAGCAGAGAGACCGAAATACGATCGAATGGAATCGAGGAAGCATAAGGGGTAACTCTATTGTTTCTCCAATTCCAAAATGAAGGTCGCTTATACGGTAAATCAGTCAGAATTGATATGCAGTACACAACACGGTAATTAATCTCTAATTCGCGCTCAGATTGTTAAAAAAGATGGACAATTCTTAGGAAGAGGAGACACCATTTTGCGAGCCCTTCGACTCGTTTTTGTAGCTACCGATTGTATAATTATATATAATTTTATACTGATTGTATTAACATTAATCGTATTGATAGTTATAATGTTTAATAATTGTAAATATTCATAATTATATTAATGACAGTATTTAATCATTGTAAATATCAATAATTATGTCAATAATAATAACTAATAATTATATAAATATTAGTAATTATATTAATTATAGTATTTAATAATTATAAATATTAATATTTATGTCAATTATAATACCTAGTAATTATAAATATCAATAATTATATTAATCACAGTATTTAACAATTATAAATATTAATAATTATATCAATTACGATATTTAATAAATACAAATATTAGTAATATTAATAATTATAATATTCAATAATCATAAATATTAACAATTACATCAATTATTACAAAATTTACGATTTCCATAATTGCCGACAATCAGCAAACTATAAAAAACGCGCCTCGAGGCTCGAATAATCGCGTCTCCTCTTCCTAAAATAATCGATTTTCGTGCGCCAATTATAATTGGATCGCGAATTAGATCTAAATCACAGCGTATTTACATTCCGTGGTGCGCGGTTATGTGATTTTTCAGTTCGTATCGATACTTGAACTTCTTGTTGCACATGTGACACGAGAACCTCTTCTCTTTGTTCCCGCAGTCGACCCTCTTGTGCCTCTTCAGGCTGTCCAGCCATTTGTACTCCTTGCCGCAGTCGGTGCACACGTAGTTCGTTTGCTGCACCGACAGATACGTGTCCGTCGTCCTGAACGGATCGTCCTCCGTCTGTCGGTGGTCCGCGGTATCGCGCGACGAACCCCAGCACGATCTATCGTAGACGACCGCGGCGGCCCCGTCGCTGACGCAGCGCTCCTTCTTCACGCGGTCCCACGCGGCCTCGTATTCTCCCGTCGTACTTTCCACACCTGCGGGAGAAGCAAACGAGGGTGATATGACAATGGGCCACGTGAACGATGCGCGACGGGGAATGGCGCTAGCCTAAACGAGGCGGGGAAACTTCTCTACGGACAGGTCTGAAATAAACGTGGAGCACGCGGCTCGCGTGGTCGTTCCGGTTTCAAGCTTCTGGTTTTAATGCACGTAGTACACACGCAGGTACAAACATAGTCGATCGATCTACGCGCGACAATTTATTTTTTTGTTCTTTGCGGCCCATCGACGCGCGCGAACAATTTCTCGGCCGATCCGAATTGCCAGTCGATGATGCATGCGCACGAAAGAGTGGAACGAAACGCGTCTGTCGAGATATTCACTGGAAGAGATATATACTTTCTTGTACTCTGAGAATATTTTGATATAAAAATGAATAACAAGTTGAAACTTGTGTAGGCCGCCGCAGTTATTCTTCTTTGGTTGAGATTCTTTAGAACGACGTTCTGATCGTGATCTGATCTATATACTCGCCGTAAATCATCACGTCGTGTCTTACGGAGCCTATGGTATAATATATAAATCTGTCTCGTTCGATATTTCTTCTTAAAGATTACTTTTAGACCACCCGTTACGTCGTTATCGCGTTTTCGCGAACGACGCGTCGCCGAGCAACTCGAAGCAGTAATACAGGCTGTTCGAAAATTATTGGACGAGAGAGAGAGAAGCGACGGGTTCCTCGGATCATTTCGAGCAACTTTTTCCTTTACGAAAATGCGATCCGCCGCTTCGTTTACGAGTTATCGACGAAAAACGCGGACCAATCGGAGAGCGGGCGCGGCCGGCGCTGCGCCCTCGCGGCCAATGACGCGTCGCGCCGGCCGTCTGACGCGGCAGCGGTGGTCGCGAGGGCGTGGCGTCAGTCGAGCTCGCCGCGTTTTTCGTTAATAACTCACGAACGAAGCCTCGGAGGAAAATTTTGCAAAGAAGAAAGTTGTTTGAAATGATCTCAAGAATCTTTCAGTTCTCGCTTGTATAATAATTCTGGGCAAGATCGCGATAATCGCAGGACAAAAGTGCGATTCTGTTTGTCGGTAGGACGTTGAAAGTTGCCGCCAACGCTCGGAGCAATGTTTCTCTCGCGCAAACGAATTAAAAACTGTTTACAAAATTACTTTCCGTCGATGCTTAAAGTACCTAACGTCGCCGTACTCGATATTAACCCTTTCGTGACCTGCAGGATACGTCCTCACGATTTTTCAGCACCTTCTGATGGTCTGACGACAAAATGTTTCCCATCGAAGTTAAGATTTAAAGTAATTGTTAACATTTAATAACAAATTGATTTTCGATAAAAAGAAACAAGCTCACCGTTATATTTTTGAGCGAAACTGGAATCGATGCAACGACGTTTGAAATAATTCCGCGATAAATAACGCCAAGGCATCGCATGTATACATAAATAAATGATCAAAACGTTGCATAATTTGTTAAAAAGTTTTCGGTACAATTGATAAACGCCGAGCTATACTCGATTAAAAAGAAAATAGACTTAACGCGGTGTTAATTGCTTTCTCCGTAGACAATAAATTCCAAAGAAAACCGACTCGGTCACGAAAGGGGGTTCGAACCGCTTAATAATACTATCCAACAAGGATTGTAATCTGTATTGACCAATGGGCGATCCTCGTAGAATTTACCACCCAAAAGACAAATCCGAAAGTAGAATTGTTCAATCGCTCTTGATTTTCGAAAAACACGCATTTCCGCAAAGTAGCCGTGTTTTGGGTGAAAGAAAGGCATTACAGAAAAAACCAAGAAAGCTAGAAAGTTCGAACTTGTCTTAAAAGATGGAGGAGAGTTTCCCGAACGTATCGATGTACTCAGTTTTTAGTTTATCTTGCTTTAAGTGACCCTAAATGTCCATTAAATTTCGAGAAGTATCGCGTCGGTGCATCTTTATTGTGTATGATAAATTCTCCGCAATTGTCCCTCAGCTTGTAGACAAAAATGGACAATTTGGGAGTAGGGGGTACGATTATTAGAACCCTCAGTGCTCGTTTTTATAGTCGCTGACAATCGGCAACTACAAAAACGAGCCGCGAATAATCGTATTTCCTTTTCCGGAATTGTCGACTTACCCGAATTCGACGGACAACGCGACAGAATTTACCGCATTTACGACCACTTTGAGCAAGAAAAATGAAAAACTGAGTGTACTAGCGTGTATAGGAAACTCTTCTCCAACTTTCAAACCGGTGATTACAAAGAGGAACCGCGAGGCTCGAACAATCGCGTCTCCTTTTCCCCGAATTGTCGACTCTCGTCTCCCAAGCTCTTAGACAATGCGAGAGAATTGACCGCATTTACGGCCTCTTTAAGCAAGAGAAATGAAAAACAAAGTATACTGTCGTGTACAGGAAACTCTCCTCCATCTTTCAAACCAAGCCCGAACCTCCTAACATTCACAGTTCCCACGTAATCGCCTCTTTTTCCATCGAGAACACCGGCGCGTTACAAAAATGCTTCGAAAATCGATGATCAAAATTCGTTGGACAACGCGATCAAGGCGCACAACACGATCCGCAACGTGGCTCAAGATTCGGCGTTCTTTCACGAGCTGGTCTCCTTGTCGCAGCAGACGAGCCTCTGGTGCCTCCTAAGGGTGTCCAGTCTCTTGTAACCCTTGCCGCACTGGCTGCAATAGAACTTCTGCCGGTGAAGCCACTCGACCTTCTCCTGCAGCTTCTCCAAGGACGCGTCGCACTTTGTCTGATGCCTTTTCAGGCTGTCCATCCTGGTGTAAGCCCTGCCGCAGCCGTCGCACCGGAACTGCTGATGGCTCTTGGCGGTCTTTTGCCCGGCGTTCGCCTCGACCGTGTTCAAGATGGACGACTCGCAGAGCAGATAGCTCATCGGCAGCTGGCCGTGGAACGAGACTTCGCACACGTCGTCGTCCTCTTGATCCTTCGCCGCGTTGCTTTCCGCAACGGTCTCGCGTCCTGCAAAGACGCGTGAATCTGTTAAAACGGACGAGATCACGAGCGGAACGGAGCGGAGCGGAGCGGAGCAGAGCGAAGCGCAGGCTCCGCGCGATAGCAAAGAAGCATGCACACTGCCGAGCGGCCTCGCGCGCTTTGCGTTACGCTCTCGGCTTGCCAAAGAGAGGTCTCGATGTTGTTATATCTTAGCTCGGATTAATTTACGCCGAGGTATTAGAAAACGTTTGTTAGTCGTATTATATTGGCTGAAATTTGTGAGCTTGTTCTTTTTTTGGGAGGCTGGGTGATAATGTGTGTGTGTGTTTGTGTGTCTAATAGCGGGCAAGCAGAGTTTCAAGGATCCTCGCCGGACTGACTGATTCGACTATTTTTTTCCGAAACGTTCAACTATGAGCTTTTATTTCAAATATTCAGTTCGCCTGACTCTCGTTCAGAGATACATTCCGCACGTATTTTTATATATTTATATTTATATGTATATATGTATATGTATGCATGTGTATATACAACGGCATATAGAGCCTTCGGTCGCGAAGCACTTTCTTCTTCATCTTCTTCTTCTTCTTCTTCTTCCGCGCCGTTGTCCGAGCTCAACGGTAACCCTTTCGTTACGAATAGTGAATAATTACGATAGAATAATCATCGGAAGAGAAAGAGAGAAAGTTTGTGGAATTGAAAAATCCTGGAAAACTTTGGGTTCGCGTACTCCCGCGTACGCCGTGTACAGTGGCCCGCAAAAGTGTTCGCACGCCTTCTAGAATGGAATCGCTTTTTTAAGAGTAAATAGCTTGAATTTTCTTTTAGGCGAATTTTTTTAGATCGTTTAGACGATAGGGACTAGTCTAATAGACGATGAAAAAAAATTATTGTATTTTAAAAGCTGTGCGAACACTTTTGTGGGCCACCGTATATATGGAGCCGCGTCTTCGTTTCCGGGAGAATAACAAGCGTTCGCATGATCCGCAGATATATAGAGTGTCCCAAAAATATCTCGCAATCGGGAAATGGGTTCCTGAGATCGTTTGCAGCAACTTTTTCCTTTACGAAAATGTTCTCCGCGGCTTCGTTTACAAGTTATCGACGAAAAACGCAATGAGAGATCGCGCGCGGCTGGCGCCACGCCCTCGCGATCACCGCTGCCGCGTCAGACGGCCGACGCGACGCGGCATTGGCCGCGAGGGCGGAGCGTCGACCGCGCTCGCTCTCCGACTGGTCAGTGTTTTTCGTCGATAACTCGTAAAGGAAGCCTCGGAGAACATTTTCGCAAAGGAAAAAGTTGCTCCAATTGAGCTCAGCTGTCATTCAGCTTCGTTTCGCGCGGTGTATAATAATTTTGGGACAAACGCTGTAGAAACGAACTCCTTGGGACACCCTGTAATCGCGTGCGAAAATACCGCGCGTTCGCATCGTTCGAGTATCATCATCATCGTTCGATGAAGTCATTCTCCGTGAAAACCGCGACGCGCGGCTCGTTACAAAGTTAGTTTCGATTACGTATATTATCGTTACGATATATCTTCTCGCGCTTATCGGTTAGCACGTCCGTACAAACTTCGCGATCTACCACGCGAGATATCGGATCGGAGCCGCTGCGAGAACCGCGGCCAACGTCAAGTTAAACGACGCATAACTTTTACGCACTAATTTACAAAATCTGCTAAAATCGTCCGTACTTTACGCCGTTCGTCGGATCGCAACAATATGTTACCGGATGCAACATAGACAAATGCGGATGTTCAAAATCGAGCATCCCGACGTACGAAACGCCTAAAACGATGCAACCGCAGCTCGATGCACGCTTGCGGACCCTGTAGTCGAACAATTTCACCGTTTCAAACAATCGACGAGCAATGATAACTGACTGTAAATGATAGTAATTTTTCGAATGTTATTTATTTAATTATTTAATTGTTAACCCTTTGCGGTCGGAGCTATTCGAAATCAAAGTGCGAAACGTAATTTCTGATCTACTGTATTTGCACTTTAGGTAATTAAATGATTATTATATATAATTATATATTATATTATATAATTATAGAATATAATTAATAACTGTATAAAATATATAATTATATATTATATAGTATAATTATACAATATAATTAATAATTAATATAATTACATTATTAGATAATTAACATAATTATGCACATGAAATTGATGCTATTGGCTCCTATAATGCATTCGAATAGCTTTTATTTTTAATATAAACGAGTCTGATGCTCTCGTGATGATTTCAAAAAACAGTATACCGACTTTCAGTGACAGTGATAATTATAATTAAATAATAATAATTATTAAATAATTAGCATAATTGTGCACATGAATTTGATGCTATCAGCAAGTGCAATGCAATTTCAATAGCGTTTTCTTCAAATATAAACGAGTCTGAGTCAGTGTACCAACTTTCATCGACTCTTCAAGGTCGCCACTCGAGTGCAAAGGGTTAAAAACGATCATCAATCAACCGAAAGAAATCTCAAAAACTGTTTTCACTGAATTCGACGCAGGGTCCGAGCATGCACCAAGAACGCGACGACGGATTCCCGACGATCGAAAGGTACCATCTCCGTCGCGCCGACGATTCCCGACGATCGAAAGGTATCATTTCCATCGCGCCGACGATTCGCGACGATCGAAAGGTACGTCTCCGTCGCGCCGACGATTCCCGACGATCGAAAGGTACCATTTCCATCGCGCCGACGATTCGCGACGATCGAAAGGTACGTCTCCGTCGCGCCGACGATTCCCGACGATCGAAAGGTACCATTTCCATCGCGCCGACGATTCGCGACGATCGAAAGGTACGTCTCCGTCGCGCCGACGATTCCCGACGATCGAAAGGTACCATTTCCATCGCGCCGACGATTCGCGACGATCGAAAGGTACGTCTCCGTCGCGGCGACGACGATTCACTGCATGGTGAGCCGCGGCGTGGTGGTCGCGAGCAGTGCCGAGTGCATCGACTTGACGTGCGAAATGAAGGACAACGGTTTGACGAACTTCTTGCCGCAGAAACGGCAGAACAGCCTCTCGCCCTTGACCTTGCAATAGTTCTTCTCGTGGCGGCGCAGGCTGTCCAACCGGGAGAAGCTTTTGCCGCACTCCTCGCAGATCACCGTCTTCGCCGATTTCTTTCGTTCCTCGACGTCCGGCGAGTCGTAGCTACTGGCGACGAACTCGAACAGGGTCCTCGAGGCGTCGTGGTCCGTTTTCAGGTACCAATCGATCGCCTCCGCTTGCTGCCCTGCGAACGAACGAACAGCTCGCGTTAACGCATACGAGACATTGCGGGATTATTTTGTTGCATTGGGGTTGTTGTTGCAGGGCGGGGGCGGAGGGCGGGACGACGAGGAGAAACGAGGGCGTGGAGAGCATGCAGAGATCGCCGGACGACGCGGTTACGTTCTAGGATTTCTTTCATCGACAATCTGGCACAACACAACATCGAACACCTACTGGTACAAGGATGATTGACGATGATTCTTCGGGCGAGGCGATTCAGTGACAATTTGGTCGGTCTTTTGTACACGTTTTATTTCACTTTCCATTATAAAGTCAGCGCTGGGAGAGAAACGTTCTCACGCTCTCTCGGTACAGCGGGTCTCTCCGCGACCCGTGAAATTCATTAGGCTACGAATACATTCGCGGTTACAAGTTATGAAGGTTATGATAGCGATCGCGTCGCGGAGAAGCGCGAGAGTACGCTCAAGATGCGACAAGATGGCCGACGAGCGGACGAGTCGGAAACGCGTCGAACGGATCGCGGTCGGGGAATGAGATTCGATGGAGAAAAATAGCGGTATATTTCTCCTACGACAATGTTATGCCCACGAATATGAACGAATTCGAAGATTTAATTAAAAATGTCGAATTAAAAGCGTTCGAGTTCGCCGATGATTTCACGAGGATTGTCGTCGTTCTCGAATAAATCAATGATACAAACATTTTTAATAAAAACATCGCTGTTTCTCTTGTCTCCAAAGAGCAAGGCTCAGCAATATTATTGTTGCTATTAGCAATATACCATGGCGGAGCAACAAATTTTAATTTCGATCCGAATTTCCCGCAGAATAAATGCTCAACAATTGTGCCTCGTCGTCTAATTATTTTTGATTTTCAGCCGCCGCGCGATCGTTCAATTGCTCGCGCGGCTAATAAATTAATAATTTTGTTTAGAAATTGCTTAATAATCGAGTCGACGAGAAGGCACGGCTGCGACGCGTTTCGCTGCGAATTTCCCGCAGAATAAATGCTCGACAATTGTGTCTCGTCGCCTAATTATTTCCGATTTTCTGCCGCCGCGCGATCGTTCAATTGCTCGCGCGGCTAATAAATTAATAATTCTTTTCGAAATTGCTTAATAATCGAGTCGACGAGAAGGAACGTCTGCGACATGTTTCGCTGCACGATTAAATCTCGAACATTCATTCTCGTGAACCGGTCGCACCGTGGAATTGAGAAATCGGATCGTTTTATTACGAATCTAAGTTCGTTATTAATTACGTTTGATTACGTTTAATTAAAAGCGCGCGATGGATCGCGCATGTTTCGTTACTATAAATCGCGATCGATCGATCGAGTCGCGGCAGCGTCGCTGTTGAACCGCGCGAATTAATTGGTCCACGTGGCCAACGGATCTTTCTGCGCGGGATTTTCGTAATCGGCGGCGGTCACGTGCTTCGTGTTGTAGTGATTGGTCAGCTCGTATCTTCGGTAAAACTCTCGGCGGCATATGCGACAGCGATGCTTCGGCAGCTTTCCGCACTCGAGCCGCTGGTGTCGGCGAAGATTCGCCATCCATTTGTAGCCCTTGCCGCACTCGCCGCACATGTAGTTCTGCAGCGCTTGGGCACGCATTCGTGGTATTCGGGTCCTGAAGGCCGGCGGGGCCGGATGATGGAAGTTCTTCGCGTCCACGAACTCCATTGGGCCCATGCTGTCCATCAGGGCCGCGCCGACTGGAACGTGAGAGAAGCTGGTTACTGCGGATACCAGTCGAATTTTTAGCGATTTCACCATTTGCCCTGCGACCACGTCTGAGAGACGTGGTCGGATTATCGGGCCGGAAATTATCGTCGCGTCCGAGACGCGTGGGCTAAGGATCGGGCGTAATGATTGTCACGTCTGAGAGGCGTGGTAAAAATATAGGGCCGGAAATATGATTGCCTCGTCCGAGAGACGTGGTAAAAATATCGGGTCAGAAATGATTGTCGCGTTCGAGAGACGTGGGCTAAGAATCGGGCGATATGATTATCACGTCCGAGAAACGTGGGCAAAGAATCGGGCAAATGATTATCACGTTTAAGAGACGTGGTAAAAATATCGGGCCAGAAATGATTATCGCGTCTGAGAAACGTGGGCTAAGAATCGAGCGAAATGATTTTCACGTCTGACAGACGTGGTCAGATAATCGAGCTACAAATGATTATCACGTCTGAGAGTCGTGGTCAAAAGATCGAGCCAGAAATGATTATCACGTCTGTGAGACGTGGTCAAGAAATCGGGCCAGAGACTATCATCACGTCTGAGAGACGTGGTCAGATAATCGTGCGCGTCGGTCGGGCCAGATATAAACATAACTAATTAGGGGATACGTGTTTTACGGTTTCTTGTTTCTCGTCGTTTAATTGTTTAATTAATAGCTAAACGAGATGGCGCAGGAATCAGCTCGACGATTTTTGCTGCAATTTTTGCGATCTTTAATTGTTTTTCACTTCGAGTGTTTCTGCCAAGGTGCGAGGGTGGTGTCTCCGATGACTCGGCGCGCAGGATTTACAAGGTAAGTTCATCGTCAATCATTTTATTCAATCGTTGAACATTGGGAAAAATACAATTTCACGTGATTCGATTAACGCGTCGCATACACGGGTATCACAAAATGAAAATCGGCGTTTATGTTTGAAAGAGTATACCACGGGACCCTGGACGATTAACCCCTCGATTGTGACACGTGACGATGACGATGACGATGATGAACGGTGACCAAAACGAAACGATACTTTCTCTTTCCAGCTGCCAACTCGTCCACTTGACGAAATTAATACAACGAAATAATAATAATAATAATAATAATAATAATAATAATAATAATAATAATAATAATAATAATAATAATAATAAAATAAAACAAATCAACATATATTAATGCGCGCGTGTTAACTCTTTGCACACGGACGTCGCCGTTAACACGATATATTTATACCAAATTAGTCTTTTATTTAAATTAGTCTTCTTCTTTATAAGGTAAAATAAAATCAGACAAAATGCGCCAAGAAAAACAGAAAATCATTCATTCATTCCTACAAAATTTCCCAGAAATGTACAGGATGTCCCAAAAATGTCTCGCAATCCGAAAGTGGCGGATTCCTCGGGTGATTCGAAGCAACTTTTTCCTTTAGAAAAATGTTCTCCGAGGCACCGTTAACGAGTTATTAACGAAAAACGCTGACCAATGAAAGATCGCGTACGGCTGACGCCCCGCCCTCGCGACCACCGCCGCTGAGTCAGACGGCCGACGCGACGCAGCATTGGCGGCGCGCCGCCTCGCGTCAACCGTACTCGATTCTTATTGGTCACTGCTTTTTCGTTGATAACTCGTTAACGGTGCCTCGTAGAACATTTTCGCAAAGGAAAAAGTTGCTTCAAATTATCCGAGGAACCCTGTATGCTATCTCGATTCTGACTCCGTGAAACGTGATCGAGATTTCCGCAAAATCTGCGACAGTCCGAGTGCAAAGTTTCCAGGATTCGGTTTCACGGCGAATCGCGCGGGTTCCGCGTCTCTTTTCGCGCGTGGTCCACGATCGATGGATCAACGTCGAGGGATCAATCGGCCGGCTCAGATCAGATCCGAGTGATGCGCCAGCAAGTGCTCCTTGAGCCTGTCGCGCCGGTAGAACTTCTTCGCGCAGAACTGGCACTTGTTCCTCGCTTCCTTGTTGCCGCACTGCAGCAGATGCCGGCGCAGGCTGTACATCCACGAGTAGGACCTGCCGCAGATGCTGCAGGTGAACAGCTGCTTCTTGTTCGGGTCGATCGCCACGCCCTGGTAATAGTACGGGTCGCTGTAGCCGGCGTCCTTCAGCAGGAGATCGTCCATCGGCAGGCTGTGGTAATTGTTCACCGGGCTCCACGCGGTCCTCGACAGCAGACCTGTCGAACGAATACACTCGTGAACAAAACGGAAGCAGATGCGGGTAAGGGTACCTGCACCAACAAATCACAGTTTTTCTCTTTTTTTCTTTTTTTTTTACGGTCGGTTGACGGACGCGTTTAGGCGACTCGACGCGAACGTTCGGCAACTCGAAGCTCTACGGTTCGACAACCCTTTCGCGCTCGGCGAATTTTCAACGACAAGTCGGTAGAAACCGGAGTATATTTGTTGATAAATTGGCAAAATGATGCTTTGAATTAAATGTAAAATGATGGGGCGTTGGAAATTATAATCGTTCTGAGTGGACATTCGTTTGAGTAAATGTTCAATTAAATATGAAAATTCATTCGAGTAAATGTTCAATTATATGTAAATAAATTTGAGTATATGTTCAATTATATGTAAATATATTTGAGTAAATGTTCAATTGGATGTAAATATATTTGAGTAAATATATTCAATTAAATATAAATATATTTGAGTAAATATTCAATTGAATGTAAACATATTTGAGTAAATATTCAATTAAATATTCAATTAAATGTAAATATATTTGAGTAAATATTCAATTAAATATGAACATATTTGAGTAAATATTCAATTAAATATAAATATATAATTGACTAAATATTCAATTAAATATAAAAATATTTAAGTAAACATTCTGTCGACGCGGATCTCGAGAAAGAAAAATTGTTAATGTTGAAAGTGACATAATCATGGACATATCCGAGCGCGAAGGGTTAAAAGCAACGAGCGCCGATGGAACGAGAACTTCCCGTCGAATACAATGGCGGGTTCGAGGGATGATTGATGAATATAAATTTGGCGAGTCGCGTTGCTCACCTTTTGTGTCGCTTTTCTTTTCTTTTTTTTTTCTTTTTTCTAAGGTACACAGAGAACACAAGCACCACATAGATTCATGGAGACGTTTTATTCGTTGAAAGGGGGGAGGTTCGTAATTGGTAAAAAAGTATACAAACAACTGGTCGTAAATGCTTCTTAGAAATTAAAACAATCCGCGTTGTACAATTCACCATCGACGGCACGGACGCGTGTTATGCACTAGGTGTAAAGTAAATATCGGTTGAATGTGGGGCGCGCGCGCAACGAGAACTCTCGAAACGATGCTGTGAAACAGTAAGTGTAGTAATTTTTCTGTAATTCGTGCTCAGACTGTGTAGAAAAATGGACAGTTTTGAGACGAAGAGATGCGATCGTTCGAGCCTTGCGGCTGCTCTCGTTTTTATAGGTGCAGATTGTACAATTATGTATAATTTTGTATTAATTATAGTGATAATAATAATGATAATATTTGATAATTATAAATAACAATAATTATGTTAGTTAGAATATTTAATGATTATAAGTATTAATAATATTAATAATTGTATTGATTACAATATTTAATAATTATAAATATTAATAATATTAATAATTATAATATTTAATCATTATAAACAGTAATAATTATATTAATTATTATATAATTTACGATTTTTATAATTGTTGACAATCGGTAAACTATAAAAGACGAGCCGCAGAGCTCAAATAATCGTATCTCCTCTTACAAAATTATCTATTTTTTAGAGCAATCTGAGCGCGAATTAGGGAAAAATTACTGTACTCTCTAACTGACGCAGAGAAATGGCCAGTTTGTGAACAGTTTTCACCTCGTCTCTGTAGTCATCGACAACTATAATTGTTATACGTATAAAAACGGTCGAACAATCGCATCTACTCTTCCCAAATTGTCCATCTTTCTCCGCAATCTCAACGCGAATTAGAGAAAAATTACTGTACTCCCTAACTGACGCTGAGATTGCGCAGAAAAACGAACACTTTGGAAATCAGAAATACAATTATTAGATCCTTGCACCTCGTTCTTACAATCGCTGACCAATCTTCGACTGACAAAAACGTGCCACGTGTTTCTAATAATCGCATCTCCGCTTCCCAAACCGTCCATTTCTCCGCAGAATCTGCGCGCCAATTACGGTAGAGTTTTTGCCGTTATCGTTCTCGCTCGCATCGAGCGTTTCATTCCCACGGGACCGCCGTTGCACGAATAAAAAGAGCAGTAATCGCGTAATATGACTTGTTATCGCGAATAGTACAGTGTCGAAGCGTTTCTTTTTTTTTTACAATAAAACAACGGCGCGAGTTCTTTCAACGGTACGCGACGTTTTTTTGAAGAAAAAGAAAAACTAGGCTCCATTAATGGTCTCGGACTAGCGTCTTCGCATGGAGTTAAGTTCGCAAGAACTTAAAGGTATAAAAGGAATTGAAATGCGAAAGAAGAAATTCCGTCGGGATAGAAATTTGTCGAAATTAGGCTACCTTCGAGAACGTAACTTCGAGACACCATAATAATAATAATAATAATAATAATAATAACGTTCGACGACACGTACATCTTGTTAACACGTTGAGCGCGCGCGCACGGTGTATGTGCAACAATCGAGGAGAAATTGTTTATTTTTCTTCGAGCGACACGGAGTCGTTTTTTGTTCTTCGATAAATGTGTGTAGTTCATGCGTTTATTGCGAATGGAATAAATTACGTTTTTGGAGCAAGGCGAAGCAGCAGGAAAGTGCTGAAAACTAGCGATTTGGTTGCGCCGAACGTGTTAATGGCCGATGTACAGTAATGTCTCTCTAATTCGCGCCCAGATCGCGTACGGAAATGGACAATTCGGGAAGAGGAGACACGATTTATTTTTTTAGTTATAAATTGTCCACAATTATAAAAGCGAGCCGCGAGGCTCGAACAATCGTATCTTCTCTTCCCGAATTGTCCAATTTAGTGGACAATCTGAGCGTCAGTAAGGGAGACATTGCTGTGATTCTCACTGGAACGAGAGGAAGCCTCGCGAGCGAATGCGAATACGGAATTATAAAAGTAAAAGATGTGTCTAAAAGAAAGGAGAAAGCGCGGAAACTATCTCGTAGCGTCGTTAATCGTTTAGAATCCTTTTCGTTCAACGTGCTAAACATTTCAATACGCAAACAAATGCCTCGCGAGATCCGCAACAATTTAACTGGTCAAAATTATTCTCCGTCTCTCTCTCTCTCTCTCTCTCTCTCTCTCTCTCTCTCTCTCTCTCTCCCTGTTTTTATGCTACCTGTTGACTCGAAAAGCTTGAGTCCCGTAAGTCGTTTGCGAATGTTGCTCTTAAAAGAAAGCATACACGCAGATTGAGTCACCAGAAACAAGCCAGATAAATAAGTCACGCTCATTCTTCGTGAATCGAACGACCTGCTCTTATACATTAATGTACAAAAAGATGAATAATCGCAAGCCTCGAATAATCGTGTCTGCTTTTCCTAAATTGTTCAGTTTTTTGTAGAAACTGAGAGGGACAGTTGGAGAGAATTTGTTCATTTGCAAGAAAAAGTTTATAAATGTACATATTCCTTCTAGACAATTCTTGGGGGGGGGGGGGAGATACGATTATTCGAGCCTCGCGGCTCGTTTTCATAGTTATCGATTATATAATTATATATAATTTTCTATTAATTGCATTAATATTAGTAATATTAATAATCATAACATTTAATAATTTTGTATTAATCATATTAATATCAATGATATTAATAATTACAATAATTAATGTTTATATTAGGTATATTAATATTAATAATATTAAGAATTATAATATTTAATAATTTCATATTAATTATATTAATATCAATAATATTAAGAATTATAATATTCAATAATTTCATATTAATCGTTATAACATTTAATAATCTCATATTAATTACATTAATATCAATAATATTAATAATAAAACATCGATTACTATATAATCCACGATTTTTAGAATTGTCGACAACCATAAAAACGAGCCGCAAGGCATCGAACAATCGCATCCCCTCTCCCCGAATTCTTTGTACGCACAATCTGACCGCGAATTAGGCAAAAACTGACGCATCTGTAGCGACTCATTCTGCAGTCTCGAATCCGTATCAACAGCACCGTTGCCATCGGCTCCCAAAAACATCACGTGACTCGGTCCGTGACGTCATGGACTTGCAGTACCGCTGGAGTAGGGGACAGCAAGCACGCTCTCGCGTCCGCGATTGGACGCGTCGCGCGACTGCCCCTCTATCCCCACTCCGCCGATCCGGAGACCGGTGACGTCACCGGCGGAGTCCACGCGACATTCTATGAAACTCGCGGCAACAGCGCCGTCGCTGGCGTGGACGCGAATCGCGATCAGTCGACGCAACAGAGCCGCGAGAAGGAAGATGATCCCGAGGACTCTATCTCTACTCCGGCTCGTCGAAAACGGGCGAGTCGCGGCACTTATCCATGATATGCCGCAGCTTCTTTTGGCATCCGACGATGTGCGAGTTTAAGACGAATCTGTGCTTGAACCTCCGATCGCAGATCGGGCAGACCTCGCACGGCACGACGCCGCACTCGAGCCGCTTGTGCCGGCTCAACGACGTGGTCGCCTTGTACGTTTTCCCGCACCTGTTGCACGGGTACTTCGTGTCGCCGTCCTTCTGCTCCTTCACCCTTTGGGTGCGGTTCAGCTTGTAAGGCGCGTCGGCGTAGCACAGCTGGTTCCAGAGGGCGTCGCTGTTGCCCCGCGGCTGGTGAATGTCTTGCGAGAGCAGCATGGTCGCCAGAAGCCCTGAAAAACGAAAGGATTCAAGCCGTTAGACGCGCCAGGGCCTTGGTCCTCTTGTCGCCGTTCCCCGCGGCGCGACCGGGAATTATTACGAGACGCGTTCCTGAAAGTGTTTACATAATTAGCCGTCTCGGTCTAACGGTTCGTTACTAATGCAGGCGCGTGCCACGCGTCCGCGCGAGCGCCGCCGTTCGGAGCACCTCTCGCTCATCGTCCGCGACGGCTTTTCGTTCTGACGGAGAACGGCGGCCGACGGATCGTCGGGTTCCGGTGCTCGAAACAGCTCGAAACAGTGAAACGCTCCGCGCGGTGAACGCGCAGCACCGGATGGAGAGTTGCGAGTAGACAGGGGAGTGAAGAGATTAAAGAGCAAAAGAAGAGCAGACGGGCAAGCAATACAGCAAGCTGTTACTCAGAATTACAGCTCCAGCGATAGTGTATGATCTCTTGCGTCGACGGTCGTTCCTTGTTCGTTCCGCGGTCGCAGGAACGCTCATCTCTCCGCAAGAAAACCTTTATTTTTATTCAAAAGTGCAAAACATCGTACAATCGAGTCGCGGCAAGGGAGCCCCTTGCTTCCTGCGCACCAATTTCCGTGTACAGAGTGTCCCAAAATCGTTGCGCTTCCGGGAAACGGTTCCTCGGGTCGTTCGAAGCAACTTTCTCCCTTACGAAATTTTTCTACGACGCTTCGTTCACGAGTTATCGGCGAAAATGTGACGAGCTCGGCCGACGCCCCGCCCACGCGACCACTGCCGCCGCGTCAGGCGGCCGGCGCGACGCCGCATTGGCCGCGAGGGCGGAGCGCCGGCCGCGCTCGCTCGACGATTGGCCGGCGTTTTTCGTTGATAACTCGTAAACGATGGCTCGGAGAACATTTTTGCAAAGGAAAAAGTTGCTTCAAATCATCTGATCTCTCATTATCAAAATTTTCGGACACCCTGAACTCACGAAACAACAAATCTCCCGACGCTTGTCCTTAACAGCCTAACCCTTAGCATGTAAACTATTCAACGCCGAGATATGTACAAAATGTATCACGTGTGCGTTCCAGCCGTGTGCGATAATCGCGCGCCGAGTATCGATCGTCAGTACCGATAATCGATCGTCCCCGCGATCGTCGCGACGTCCGCTGATGCTTCTTGCGATGCTTCCTCGATCGGTTTCCCGTCGCCGAGCCGCCGCGAAAGTCCACTATTCCCGTCTTCTTCTGCAGGAGGCCAGGTGATGGGTCATCTTGAACCTGTGGGTGAACTTCTTCCCGCAGATCGGGCAGCTCTGCCTCGGCTCCACGCCGCACTCGAGCCTCTGGTGCCTCTTCAACGACGTCTCCAGCTGGTAACACTTGCCGCACCTCGGGCACTTGTAGAGCATCGGCCTCCTCCTGTATCCCAGATTCTCGATGTTTTTCACCATCAGCCTCGGCACTGAAAGACAATAAAGAAACAGAAGGGCAATCAATAAATGGGAGCAGATGCTCGTGTATCGTGCGCATGTGTACGCGAAGCGAGGGACGATGAGAGAGGGGAGTTTTTCAGGTGGCAAAGGGAGACGCGGTCCAATGGGATCGCGATTAAAACGCAACCTGCTGCACCGTTGTTTTAGACGAATAGGCTTAGGCGAATCGTTTACTTACGCTCGTTAACCCCTTGCCCTACGATCTCAGTTTCAATAATGTGCAATGTGAACGATAACACAGTCGATCAATCGCGAATGTGAATGCAGCGACTTCTGTTAATATTCGGACATTTTTTAAAATGCGATAACTTTTTTAGAACCGGGCTAAATGATTTGAATTTTTTTTAGATGATAGAGGGACTAGTATGCTAGACTGTAACTTAATAGAATGCTTTTTTAAAAGGTTTCTATTGCTCAGGATAATAAAAGAATATAAAAGAGCGTCTCTTAACTTTTTTATCTGGGACTACAACGAAAATTTAAAACATTTGTTTCGTAGATCTGAAAACAATTAAATGACGAAAAATAAAATTACATAAAACACGTATACCCTGGTCTAACGCGAGCCTAACTAGTTATGTTTATATTTGGCCCGATTGACGCATTGCGGCTCTCATTTTTTACCACGTCTCTCAGACGTGACAATCGTTTCTTGCCCGATCTTTCGACTACGTCTCTCGGACATGATAACCATTTCATGCCCGATCTTTCGACCACGTCTCTCGGACGTGATAATCATTTCTGAACCAAATTTTTACCACGTCTCTCAGACGTGATAATCATTTCTGGCTCCATTATTTGACTACGTGGCTCAGACGTGATAATCATTTTTGACCACGTCTCTCGGACGTGATAATTATTTGCGACTCGATTTTGTTCACCACGTCTCTGAGACGTGGCTGTAGGGCAAAGGGTTAAATCGAATGCTCGTCGTCGTGGACTCACCGATGTAGAATCCAAAGGTAAGCGAGCCATCGGAAAAAATATTTCAATGGAAAAAGAACATTGTGAATTATTTTAATTTCATTTTCCAGAAACTGGAACATTTGGAACGTTCGATTGTTGGCACGTCCGAAGCAATGATCGGCGATCGCAGTGTCGGTAAGTCACATTTATTAAAAGAGATGCGAAAAACTATATATTATATATATGTATGTATGTATGTATATATAAGCTCTACAGTTATATACAATAGAAAATCGTTGAATCCACAATTAATTAATCCAATTAATTTGTATACACTTGCGAGAGTGTATGCGAAAGGAATATTTGCCGTGAAACAATAAGATAGCTGAACAATTAAACAAAAGAAAAGAACTATGCTTCATACTTAAAACTGATTCATACCACTGGAAGAATTATTTATCTGTTCCTGTATATTTATATATGTACCTGTATGTGTGTATGTGTTTGTGTGTGTGTGTTTGTGTGTGTTATTTATTTCCAACTTCCAACAAATTTTATTTTATTTTTTCTTACGTTACATGTTAGTGTCACCGTGTGCTCGGTTAGAATGTTCAACATATTTAGAAAAAAATAAGAAAAAATAGGAAACCATTCTGAAATCAAATATTTAGAAATGTTATTCCATTAGAAGAGAGAGAAGCGTAACGTATTCTTAATAATAACTATTAGCTATCTAGCGAACGAAATGCCCTGTTAATAATTCTTTTTGTTATTTATCACCATTCGCGGATACTTTTTTTCTAGATGTAAATTTTACGGAAAACAATATTTAAACTCTTCAGAACGCTGCGAACGCACGCACTTGTCCGACATAATTAACATACTCGCTACGACCTATGGACGCATATATGTATATACATATGTGTACGCGCTCGGTGAAAAATTTTTTATTAATAAAGCTATAAATGCCAGCTCGAAGAAATGATTAAAGAAATAAATACTATTGTACTTTTATAAATACGATTTATAGTAAAGTAAATGAGCAAATCTTGATGAAGCTTTGGGAAGAAGCAGTGGTTACAAAAATATTCATTATCAATATTATAATTCGACATGTATCTTGGAAGCTATTGGAAGTAATTAGATTAATATAATAACAATTATTATAATAATAATTATAACACAAATTATATACACAAATATTCAATAATATGAATTCGAATAAAAAAATCACCAAAAGTTAATATCACCATTTGAAAAAACACAATTTTGTCATAATGATCTTTTCGCGCGATGGCAGTTATTATACCTTCAATGCAAACAATGTTTGAATATTTTTGTACAACTGTTTCGAACCCAACTTCCATTCAGATCTGCCAATGCCACTTCGATACGTTTCCTTGTAAGTAGATATTATAGCTCTTTTTTAAAGCACTGTCTTCTTTGTGATCGCAGCAACTTCGAGTGGAGCGCAATTAGACACGTGCTACTGTTGCGAGAATATTTTTTGGTTCGCTAAAAGATCCTTAATCTTATCGAAAACACTGCAACGTCTCTTTTTACCAGTTGTCCCGTATTAATTGGACACCGTTCAATTTTCAAGGACAAATAACATTACGGAAAATTCTGCGAAATGTTCTGGAAAAGGTGAGCCATCTTCGGATCTTAGTAATCTGTACACACGTATAATAAGTGTTTAGGTTCGTTTAGTTTAATTTGAAAGATAGTCAGTATAAAACTATCGTATATATATAGACTAGAAATTAGTATTTTATATGTTACTATAACCGAAGCTAAAAAGAGAGACTTCTCGTCCAAATCAGACTTCCGTTTGAACTTTCTTCCTGTACAATTCTTTACGATATAACAGCCGCTGATTAAAGTCTTCACAACTTAGGCTGATAACCTTGACAATATACAGCGTGTCCCATAATTAGATCAACACAAGGAAAAGGATGATTCCTCAGGTAATTCGAAGTAACTTTTTCCTTTACAAAAATGTTCTCCGAGGCGTCGTTCACGAGTTATCAAGGAAAAACGCCGGCCAATCATCGAGCGAGCGCGGCCGGCGCTCCGTCCTCGCGGCCAATGCGGCGTCGCGCCGACCGTCTGACGCGGCGGTCGCGGTCGCGTAGGCGGGGCGTCGGCCGAGCTCGCCCCATTTTCGCCGATAACACGTGAACGAAGCGTCGTAGAAAATTTTTGTAAAGGAAAAAGTTGTTTCAAATCGCCTCAGGAATCACTGCGTTCCAAGTGTCGACATAATTACGGGACATTCTGTATTAATCAGTGTTCGAAAAAGCTACGGATCGTTTTCATGCGCTACTATAACTATAAAAAAGGTAAAGTATTAATAATTATTCAATTATTCAAGTAATAACAATAAAAATTAATCTTTCCGCGCGCCCAGAAAATTGACATTCCAGTCGCCGTTGAAAAGAACGACTTGAATCTAAGATTTCAATTAAAAATATACGTCACTTCAGTGGTCAGATTCGAGGGCAAACGTAATTAATTAATCGCCGAGATCGTAGATGGCTCTATTTTGGCGAACATTTTCCAAAATTTAACGACGTGTCTCCTTCGCAGCACCCGTCGATCCAAGATGGTTGTTTGTCTCGCGCCGTACATCGCGATTAATTGTAAAATATTTTGTAAACGTGATGGACGGATTGCATATGCGAGTGCAATCGGTGCTTGTACTTGAACTTCCGGCCGCAAATCGGGCACGCGAATGTCGGTTCTTTGCCGCATTCCACCCGGACATGATTCCTCAAGGAACCGTGGCTGAGATACCGTTTGTCGCATCGATGACAAATCCACACCTCCTGCAAGGTGCCTGCAAAAAAACAAAACGTTTCATAATTGTCACACGATCGTTCAGGGACAACACGGTTTTTTCACACTAATTTACAACGTGACCGGTACCATTCTCGCGTTTATCTCTATCATCGCAATCTATGCGCGCGCGCGCGCATACACACATACACACGTGAGTGTCGACAGTGTCTCTCTTACGGGGAGGGGGGAAAAAAATCATCGGGATTTCACGTTGCTCGTGTCGTGTTATCATAAAGTCTTTATTACGTTTCTGATAGCCTTTGCGTACATTTCTGGAAGCCCTAAACGTAGAAAATACGTAACAAAATATGCATGTACCCCGGTTTCTACGGTTACGAACTGCTCGCCTAAACTCGTCTCTCTATTGTTCCAGTCGTTTCTACTAAAATATCCTTCTGCAAAAATATCCGATGGATTTTGTTTTGTTCGATTAGGACACGCGTAAAGAATTCTATCAGTCTTGCGCTCGTCTTCGGTGCGTTCCCGCAGCCGCGTTGCGTCGCCTCTCGGCCGCTGCGTTCCGATTACGATGATCGATGGCCGTCTTAGACGTTCTCCGATCGATCGGCGATCGAGACTCATGCACGCAAAAATTCGTCCAGGCTTGGAGAGACGGCACCGTTCCTCGATTCTATCGGTTACCCTCGATCGGGCTCTTACGCGCGTTCGCCGACGAAATTATGGCATTCCGGCGACTCTGATTTCTGTCTCAGAAACTGAGTATTAATCGTATTTGTTATTATTATTATTATTTTTAAGTTTTATTGTATGGCACTACGGTCGACAGATCGACGGAAATCGGAGCCCGACGATTAGGTAACGGTGCTTTCTTCCAAGCGATTATGGCCACCGAGTGTGTGTGTGTGTACAATGCTCGTCAATGAATACTGCCGCTACTATAGTCTGCACGATTCCAGGGAATTGATGCACAGTTTCTGTATCGAAATTCTTCTCGCGTGATCCGAACGAATTGTTCTCGCTTTTCGTTTGGATTCTTTCATTCGAACGAGAATCCAATTAACGCGCGAACGAATCCTCGTCTTCAGAGGGAAGCCTGGCTCTCGCCCCACCTCGTAACAACGATCTTTTTTTCTACAAGTAAAATTAACAGCGAGTAGAAATTATTGCTTGAAAGTTTCAAGCAGACATTCGAAATAATTCAAATAAATTGATCGGTAAAATAAAATGTATCGATGCGAACTGCTTCGCAAATGCAGGATTTTTATTAATAAAAACAAAAGAAAATAGAAAATGTTTATCTATTACTTCGCGGTTAAATTAACCATTTTCTTCGGAACGAACAATCCGAAAGTTTCTTATTATTGTACCAGCGAGAAATGAGGGGTTCCTCGGGTCATTTGAAGCAACTTTTTCCTTTACAGAAAGTTTCTCCGCGGCTTCGTTTACGAGTTATTAACGAAAAACGTGGACCAATCGGAGAGCGAGCGCTGCCGGCGCGATGCGGCGCGCCGCCAAAGCTGCGTCGCGTTGGCCGTCTGATTCAACGGCGGTGCTTGCGAGGGCGGGGCGTCAGCTGTACGCGATCTCTCATTGGTCAGCGTTTTTCGTTAATAACTCGTAAACGAAGCCGCGAATTGCATTTCTGCCGGGGAAAAAGTTGCTTCGAATGACCCCAGGAACAACTTATTTCTCGCTGGAAAATAATTTTAGGAGACCCTGTGTATATATTTCCCACCCTCCTCGAAATTCCTGGATTCATCGACGATATGAGAAAAATTGTAAGTTCTCTTTGTTTCTGGCAGAAATAAAAAAATTGACACCTAATGCTTGAACGCGAGGTAAAAGTTTATCTTAAAGGTTTCAAAAAGAACCAGGTTCCCTCTTTAAAGCTGTTAATACTGTTCTACTTGGCGTGCCAATGTGAAGTCTGGCAAGAAAAGAAAAGACAGTTGGAATTCTCTGAAATAAAATAATAATCGCTCGAACGAACAAAACGGAATTTTCACGTGCATGACTCGGCATTGTAACAACACGATTCATTGTCGGGAGATAAATCAGTGCACGGTTGAATCGACAGCGACAAATATAAAGAAAACTTCACTTTCGGCAATTGTTCCCTTTATCTTTGTAATTCCAGCATCAACGGATAGCCGAGATTCTTCCGATTAAAATGAGCCCAAACACGACGTAAATCGCATTACAATTAAGCTGTTCCAGCATTAATTAATAAGAAATCTACAGGGTGAGTTGTGTAACCCGCGCACACACGAGGCAACTTTTAAATTGCGATTTTTATGCGAAACTGTTAAATATATATATATTATATCAATAATTATATATTATGTCAAGTTCTCAAAATCGATTAATTTAAAGTTTTCCGAGACGTGCGAGTCGAGCGATACACCCTGTATAATAAAAATCGACGAACGTGGTCCGATTGGCATCGTGTTTGGACTCATTTTGATCAGAAAAACCTGGACTATCCATTGGCGCCGCAATTGCAAGAGTAACTCGTATATTATCGAAATGAAAATTTTCTTCACACGAGTTCCGCACGTATTTTCTCGTGCAAATTGAACCGTGCACCGTGTGTAGCTGTATTAAACTATTTCTATATCCGTTTATTGAAACTGTCGCGTGTGCAAGTTCGACGCGAGATGCGACTGCAGTCTGTGTTTGTACTTGAATTGTCTGCCGCAAAGAATGCAGGTGAACGCGGGCGCTTTCCCGCAGAGGCGAAGATGGGTGTACATGGACGATTTCCTCGAGTAGACCTTGCCGCAGACTCTGCATGGGAAAACGGTTTCCTGGCCAGCGTCACCTGAAACATAAATTATGGAGTCGTGCGTGGGTGCAGAAGACGACGTGCTACAATGATTATTCTTATCAAGCATCAACCACACGTTCCGTTCGGCCTGCTTTAACAGGGACACGAAATACCCATCGACAGCACACGAATAGTTCACGGGCTCATACACGCATCGGGGTTAAGATCGATGACGAATGAAAAATTTTGCTACCCAGAGATCTTCGACCTAGTAACAAAAAGGGGACGGGAACAATTGTATAGACCAGAGACCACCTCAAACTTCGATTCTAAAATGATCAATTGTTTTTGAAGTCGATTTTCTATATTACTATAAATATTATAAATATTATAATATCTATAGTGATATATAATATTTAATATATATAATATTAATATATATAATCACTACAAACATTAAAAATCAGATGAGTCATTGATCATTAATTTTGAAACCTTTTACCCTAGAGATTAAATGATCTCTGATGCAATAATATACGTCTTATTACGATAATCTATTCAACCGAGTCCTAAATTATCACCAACAATTTGCACAGAGAATAATCATAGAGATGTACATTACTTCTTAAACGAACAATTTACAGGTACGCGTAGATGAGAAAATATTCCGGGCATTGACCTTGTAACATATTCGAATGAAATGGTCTCTAATCTATGCTGGATGCACGATGACTGGGACACGTTTGTTGCGCACACAAGTTACACACCCACTCTTCTCGACGTTCACTTGCACACGATCGTTCTCGTGGAATCACGCATGCACGGTACAAACAAAAAGGATACAACAATTCGGAGACCGGCGACTCGTCGGTCTCGACACAACAATATCAAGCAAAATCGATGACAGACGATGATGAGCTTTGTGATGGGGGGGGGGGCAGGGTGGTATCATAAGATCGTCGAAACAACACCTCATTTACTGAATTCAAGTTTTACTGGATCTCTTCACTTTTATTTGTACTTGTGTGTCTTCTTCGTTCGTTAATCAACTACGTGCTCGATGAATGCGCCGGACGGTGCACGGTTAAATTTACATCGACTCGAGACACGGAATGTAAATTTAAACGTACCGGAGAACCGACTCGAGCACGGCTCGACGAAGCGAGCTGCACGTCGAGCACAGCGACGAGATTCGAAATTCAATGGTGCGCTGCGATCGGCGTCGAGTAAACGTGCAATAAAGAAAATTATTGTTTCAGTATATATTATTGCTTTATCTTTGTAATTGCAGTGCGAACGAATAGCTGAGATTCTTCTGATTAAAACGAGTCCAAACACGACGTGAATCGGACAACGTTCGTCGACAAGCATTATACAGGGTGTGTTTCGTAAATCCTTCCTGTTAAATCCTTTAAGAAAAATCGTCAAATACATGGTCACAACGGTTCGACAGAGGCTCTTCCTCCTTTTTAGAAAAATTGTCAAGTTTTAAAAATCAATTAATTCAAAGCTACTTAAGTCGTGCAATTGACTCACCCTGTATAAGCTTGTCGACGAAAGTAGTCCGATTCGCGTCGTGTTTGGGCTCATTTTAATCAGCAGAACCTCAGCTATCCACTGGCGCTATTACCAAAGCAAAATCAACTGAAACTAAAATTTTCTCTCTCGCAAGCTCACGTCGTCCATTCGCGACATCCTCTTAAAGCACGCTCCACTCCTCTCTCCTCCATCCTCGAGGCACTGTCGCGTGAGAAGAACGAAACTGGTTCGTCTAAATTCAAGCGTACGCGCGCTCGTGCAAATTTAACCGTGCACCAGAGAAATCTCGGATTCTCCGAACCCGGATAAAACGACGATCGTGTACTTTGGTTCACAGGCGAACGGTTCACAAAGGAATCACAGCGTGGTCGTGTCGTTGAACGATCGGGCCTCGAGGTCGTCGTTGAACCGCCACTGGTCCGTGCAACTGTGAATCGACCTGTGGTGTTTCATCAGATGGTGCTTGTGCTTGAACCGTCTGCCGCAGATGCTGCAGGGAAACCGGGGCTCGATGCCGCACTCCATCCGCTTGTGCAGGTTCAACGACACTTTCCATTTGTAGCTCTTGCCGCAGGTGTTGCAGACATAGCTCGGCCGGTACGCGATCTCCGGCAGCCCTGAAATCAGAAGCGGAAACGTCTCCGTTAGCACCGCTAAACGAATCAGCTGAAGGAGCCAATTTTCGAAATGAAACCTTTTTCTTTTTTACGCGCGTCTTCGCTCGCAGGGAATCGGGATCTATTCCTCTCGGCTTTTTTCCCCATCAGTGTCTTTTTATTTTAGTTTCTCGCACATCTTCGACAAGGTATCGTCGTTTCGTTCGCGTTCAACGTACAAAGAGTTACGATCGAGTGAATTCGACACGGTTACATGGGAACGTCTACGAATAAAACTGTTCTACGAGGACTACTACAATGGATCGGAATCATAATGGACGATCTTCGTTCCGATTAGATCAAGGCGCGATGCTTGTGCCGGAACCGCATGCCGCAGATGTTGCAGGCGGGTCGGGGCTTCGCGCCGCAGCCCACCCTCTTGTGCAGCTCCAGGGCGGTTTTCCGCTCGTAGCCCGTGCCGCAGACGTTGCACGTGTAGGCCAGATGGCACGGGTGCTTCTGCCGGCTGGCGTAATCGAACCGGTCGATCACGAGGTCGAGCCGTCTCGCGAACTCCGGCCGGTTCAAGAAGTGGAACCGGTGCTCGAACTCCGGCCGGTTGGCCAGCTTGCGGCGATCCGCGATCTCCTCCGATCGGTACGCGAACCTCGACCGGCTAGGGTGATCCAACCGGTACGTGAACTCCGGCCGGGTCACCAGCTTCACGAAGTCCGCGAGCTCCTCCGATCGGCGCGCCGGATTCGACCGGCTCGCGACGTCGAAGCGGCGCGTCTGCGACCCCGCCGAGCCTGAAATCAGAAGCAGGAACGTTCTCGTTAGCGACGATTTAAAGGAGTTCGACTTGATCAGCGCGGAAGGAGCGATTTCGATTTTTATGCTCGAAATGGAAATTGTTTCTACGATTGTTGTGGACTCGCCTTGAATTTGCTCTCGCAAGGAAACGGGATCTCTGCGCCTCTCGACTTTCGTTTTACCCCTGGACAGGGTGACTTTTTATTGTTTCTCGCGCACACTGTCGTCGAAGTGAAAAATACGTACACAACAATGTCGCTTGACGATGCGTCAATCGGTTCGGGACGGTTGTTTATAGGAACGTCGACGCCTATGTATAAAAATGTTCTTTAATTCGGTTCGTTCGATGAGGGTTGCTTTAATGAATTGCAGTGATTTCGCCCTGATTAGCGCTCGGATCACTATGATAGACGATTTGTGATATATATATCTCACACAAATATAAATCTCAAATAATATATATATAATATATAAATATATATAATATCTCAAATATGTATTAGATTATCCGAGCCTCGCGTTTATCGTTTTTACAGTTATTATAGTCGCAGATCGGCGACTATAAAATATAGTTAATAATAATTCAAATGAAATTGAAAATAACAATTATTACAATTACCACAATTATTACAAAAATTACAGGATCACTGAAATATAAATAATCGAGCGAGATCTCCTCTTCCCAAATTGTCCACTATTGGAATCAATCTGAGCGCGGATCCGGGAGACAATCACCGCAAATCACTCTGTGATCTATAATTTTGAAATTATCGGCGCAATCTTATTCAAATTAATGCTAAATTACTCGAATCATCCGATCGACGTCGAAAAAAACTGTTCCGTCGCAAGTCCCTGTTCATCGAAGATGCACACGCGTGTTCCGTCGACGGAACGTCGGCGGCGATCCCGAAGACGTTTCACTGGCCGTTCAACGAGGGTAGCGTCGACAGATCGCACTGGTGCCGTCTCTTCAGGTGTTGCTTCAAATGGTGTTTGTGCTTCAACCGCCAGCCGCAGAACATGCAGCGGAACTGCGGTTCGATGCCGCACTCCAGCCGACGGTGTTGCTGTAACGAGGACTTCCACTTGTAAGTTTTGCCGCAGTTCCCGCAGGCGAACTTCCTAATGGGGCCTAAAAATCAACGACACAACTATGTACTATCGCCGTGGTCAATGACTCCGCGTTAATGCTATCGCATGCGTTATCATCGCGTCGTTCGTTGAACGAATGTTAAATCGTTTTTAAGCTCGAGCGGAGCGCGCGAGCTTTCGTTTTACGAAACACGAACCAAGTGGGAGAGAGGAGAGCCGTTCGCGCGGTTTCGCGGTTCGCGTGAACCTATCGAGCACAGCCGAGATAGCTTCGGAGCAGGTTGAACGAAAATCGCGACGTTCGGCGAGACGTTACGACCGTCAGGCGATTTCAAGGTCGAACGAGAACTCGCGATTCTGCGGTGTCGTTCGTCGATCCCTCGAACGTCGATTATCGATGGAAATTTTCAGGGTGAATCAATGGGAGGAAGGAAGGTCCTTGGAACATGTTGTCAAGGTCAATGTTCTGAACAATTTTCCCTTATACCTCTACCGGTCGCTCGGCTTTAGTTTCCGAGATATTCGCGGAGAACTGTAGCTAGCCGCTGCATCGAATTTTGCACCGTGATTTCTCCGTAATTCGCGTTCTCAGATCGCGCAGAGAAATGGACAATTTGGGAGGAGGAGACACGATTATGCGAGCCTCGCGGCTCGTTTTTATAGTTGTTGAAATGTATAACTGTAAAAATATATAATACAATAACCGTATAATGTAACACATATATATAATATAATAACTATGCAATATATACAGAGTGTTCCATAATTGTGTTAACAGCCGGAAGAAATTGATTCCTGAGGTGATTCGAAGCAACTTTTTCCTTTACGAAAATCTTCTCCGCGGCTTCGTTCACGAGTTATCAACGAAAAACGGTGGCCAATAAGACGTCGCGTGCGGCTGGCGCCACGCCCTCGCGACTGCTGCCGCTGCGCCGGACGGCCAGCGCGACGCGCGAGGGCGGAGCGTCGACCGCGCTCGCTCCCCGAATGGTCCTCGTTTTTCGTTAATAACTCGTAAACAAAGCCGCGNTAACACATATATATAATATAATAACTATGCAATATATACAGAGTGTTCCATAATTGTGTTAACAGCCGGAAGAAATTGATTCCTGAGGTGATTCGAAGCAACTTTTTCCTTTACGAAAATCTTCTCCGCGGCTTCGTTCACGAGTTATCAACGAAAAACGGTGGCCAATAAGACGTCGCGTGCGGCTGGCGCCACGCCCTCGCGACTGCTGCCGCTGCGCCGGACGGCCAGCGCGACGCGCGAGGGCGGAGCGTCGACCGCGCTCGCTCCCCGAATGGTCCTCGTTTTTCGTTAATAACTCGTAAACAAAGCCGCGGAGAACATTTTCGTAAAGGAAAAAATTACTTCAAATGATCCGAGGAATCCCTCGCTTCAAGCTTGGACAATGATTTTGGGACAGACTGTTTTTGGTCTGGGCATGCGATCTAGCTCTATCAGCTGTGCTTGGTCGATCAAGACACTGACATCGTTCGATACTCGTTGACGTCGTAGGTGGACCGCCAATTGTGAACGTGATAGAGGTGCAACTTCAATTGGCCGCTGCGACGGAACTTGTGAAGGCACACCGGGCACACGTATCGAGGCTCTTTGCCGCACTCCTCGCGCTTGTGCCGCATTAACGATGGCTTCCACGTGTATTCCTTGCCGCATACGTCGCAGAAATATCGGCCGCGATAACGTGTGTGATACGCGGATCTCGGATATCCTGTAAACAGAGAGAGGCGTTTAGTTCGTGTCCCGTTTTCCCCCTCGAATCACCTAGTTTCATTCTTCCCTACGACTCGGAAACGTCTGTCGTCGACGTGGTATTCTAACACGTCTAGCCGCAACGTCTTTATTACCAAATATTAGATACACAAATGCGGTCCTTTTCGCAACTTATTCTCGTGTTCCAGCGACTGACGTTTAGACTGCGGTTCTTTACACAAATTCTCGTTTTCGTTACATCGTTTCGCAACAATCACAATTAAAGAAAAGCTTCGTTCGTTAACCAAAAGATTGCGTATCGTTAAAATAAAATGAAAATCGACATTGTTAATTTATACGTTCTCTGGCATTTAAAAAGATCTGCTCATAAATATATGCAGAAACAAAATGGAGGTAACAGGGAGTACCAAAATTATGATACTTGAAATAAGAGGTTCCTGAGGTCATTCGAAGCAACTTTTTCCTTTACAAAAATTTTCTACGAGGCTTCGTTCACGAGTTATCGGCGAAAATGTGGGGAGCTTGGCTGACGCCCCGCCCTCGCGACCACTGTCGCCGCGTCACATGGCCGGCGCGACGCCGCATTGGCCGCGAGGGCGGAGCGCCGGCCGCGCTCGCTCCTCGATTGGCCGGCGTTTTTCGTTAATAACTCGTAAACGACGGCTCGTAGAAAATTTTCGTAAAGGAAAAAGTTGCTTCGAATGACCTCAGGAACCGCTCGCTGCCCGGAAGATGCCATAATTCTGAGACCACTTTGCACAGAAATTTTGCGACGAAACGCTTTCGCCGCGGTTCGCATCCAGCTGTGTACTCTTTGTGCATAAAAGCGGTGCAACGTAAGATCGTCGGTGGGACGGGGGTCTGCGATTACACACCGGACACGCTGTGTAATGCTGAGATTGCTTCCCGCACTCCTCGCGTTTGTGCCGCATCAACGATGGCCTCCACATGTACTCTTTGCCGCAGAAGTCGCAGAAATATTTGCCGCGGTAACGCCTGTGATATGCGGGCCTCGGGTATCCTGCAAACAGAGATAGATGTTAGTCCGGTGTCCCGTTTCGATCGCCTCTTCTCATTCCTCTCTACGACCGAGAAACGTCTATCGTCGCCGTGGTATCTCACACATCCGTCCGTCTATTAACGTCTTTATTATCAAAAAGAAAAAGTGTTTGTTGTACGATATACATAAATACGGCTCTTTTCGCAAAGCGTTTCCACGCTCTGGCGACCGACGATCGTAGGAGAACGCAGGCAAAATCTGCTCTCCGGCTCGGTACGATCGTTGGCTGCTTATTCTAACGGGTGTACACTGGCGCTAAAAGGTTCGAGCTTGATTTGGATCAACGGAATATGCAAAGGCTTGGCTTCACTGGCTTGGCTTCGCGCGTGGCTTTGCCATTTGGCCTTGCCGCTTGGCTTTGCCGCTTGGCCCAAGCCGCACGGCTCTGCCATTTGGCCTTGCCGCTTGGCTCTGCCGCTTGGCCTTGCCGCTTGGCTTTGCCGCTTGGCCCAAGCCGCACGGCTCTGCCATTTGGCCTTGCCGCTTGGCTCTGCCGCTTGGCCTTGCCGCTTGGCCGGAGTGGTCGGCGCGAGGAACAGTTCCATTTTTGTTTTTGTGCGCAATTTGAACGCAATTGAGAGAGAATTTACTGTACAATCGGCTCGAAAATGTCGACGTGAACGCGAAAGACAGGACATTGGCGCAGGACAATGGCCGTTGTTTGAAAGTCGGTGGGCCACGCTTATCGGAAATTTACACAAAATGAACTATACTTAACACTAAAAAAATACCGCAAATTATCTGAAACATTGCAGATTCTCGATAACTTTTCGTGCACAGTAATACGTACAAAATAATCTAACAAGTCTAACAACTCTGCGGGTACCGGAGCGCGGCCTCCTGTGCCGGAGTCATTTCTTGCTCGCGCCGATTAATATCGGCGATTATTATTAATAATAATTCCATTGATAGAATATAATTATTCTATTAACGCTAGATTTACGGAGCAGAAAGAAAATAGTAAACTGATATTTCATATCAGTTTATAAGAGTAACAATAAGGCATTTATTCTAATTTTGAGCAACATTTGCCGCGAGTAACATGTAAATTGAACAAATAAATAAATTGGAAACTAATGACCCGCCATTTCGACGGGTTCCGTAAATCTGGTATTAATAAACATTTGCAGACCGCTCTTGCTCGCGGTGACTCCGGCACAGCGGACGGAGGGCCAAAATACAGTAACGACTTAGTAATTAATGCTCGGATTGTGCACAAAAGTGGACAATTTTGGAAGAGAAGATACGATTATTCGAGCCTCGCTGCTTTCGTTTTGATAATCGATGTAAATTCGTAACTGCAAAAACGAGTTTCGAGGCTCGAATAATCGCATCCCCTCTCCCCAAATTGTCCATTTTTATGGACAATCCGAGGGTCAATTAGAGAGACATGTATCACGAAACGGAAAACAAGAGAGCATCGAAGAACAAATTGTCGGGATTTTCACTGGCGCATCGAAGCTTCGCGGGTCAAAAGGTCATTTAGTTCGGTTCGCCTAACGGGTACCGCCTAACAGTCATCGCGCAGCTAGGACAGCCCCCTCTTCGACTATCATGCCGTTAGACGCTAAACAAGCTACGCTTTCCGCGTTGCAACGTGGATTGTGTCTCGTCCTCGAATCGTCTCGTTTCTCCTAATTATTCTTGCCGTTCGCGACGATCCAATTGTGAACGGTGACCAGATGCTTCTTCAGCATCCACTTGTGCCGTATCTTCGCCCCGCAAACGGGGCAACTGTGCTGAGGGTCTTTGCCGCACTCCTCCCTCGCGTGCCTGACCAGCGACTGCATCCACCTATACTCCTTCCCGCAGCTCGTGCAGAAATGCCGTCCGAGCCTCTTGTAATAGTCTGGGCTGAAGTATACTGAAAGAAACAACAGGCTTCTGTAATCACGGCTTGGGGTGCGATGGGCGCCGGCGTTAAACGCGGCGTTAATTTTCTCGTTAGGATGCAAAACAGAAAGAAAAATCAATCTAAAATGCACGAGAAGGCGGCGAGGGGTGTTGTTGTTGTTGTTGTTTGTTAGACAAGAGCGCCGCGATTTGGTAACTCAGTGACTTGAACGCAAGTTCGGTTATTCGGGGAGTGGTAGAGATCGTTTTATTGGAATGAAATGTTCGAGGCAATTGTGTAGCTGCGCTCGATGCATTTTCGATGTTTTTTTCGCCGTCGAAATTGAACGCGCGATCGCGGATGTTCGTCGATGCACGGTCGTCGGTATATCTGTCGACGGGGAAACACGAATGTCTGGGCCGTTCTCGGATTTGCTGCGCGGTAATTTCTCCCGGAATTGCTCGGAGGTCGCGATCGAAAGCGGCAGATTATGAGGATAATCGTTTTTTTAGAGAAACTCGAGACTAAAAGGTGAGAAAGACGGCGGCCAGCGAGTACATAGTGATGCTGGAATAAAGACGACGAGCTGATTTGTTGATTTCGAATTTTTTGCCACGATTCGGAGACGATTTGGAGGGCACTTGACACGATTCGAAGGCAATTCGGAGGCCACGTGCCACGATTCGACGGAAATTCGGTCGCGAATTTTGCACCTGCGCGGTCTTTTTACACGACTCAGGCCCAAAACAGAGCATTTTGTGTTGTCTTCCGTCGAACCATGACATCGACGTAGCAGTAAATCTCATTGGCGCAGAACTAGCACAGGGGAAATTCACAGAAACCCGAAATTTGGCATTTCCGAGAGAAATTACTATTATACCGAAATTCTACGTAGACTCGCGGTTTATCATCGCGACGTTATCCATTGTCTGGTACATATTTTCGATCGCGTTCAATCGCTTTTTATCCAGGAAATTATATTTCGAATAGATTACCTGTGATTGGACGATCGAGTCTCGATTTTTCGAGGAATCGGAGAAGAAGATCGCGCGGGAAAATGATTCATAAATTGAAATAAACGAGAGAGAGAGAGAGAGAGAGAGAGAGAGAGAGAGAGAGAGAGAGAGAGATAATAAGATTTTGTGGAACGAGATGGAGCAAATTTCTGATTTTCGATGATATTCGTGTCCCTATTTGCGGCCGTGGGGGAGGGGGGGGGGGAGATGTCTCTCGACCGTAATGCTAAAGATTATTCATCGTTCGTACAAAAAATGGCTATCGTCTCGAACAAACGCTTTAATGAGTGATCTTTTTTTCTTTTTTTTTTCTTTTTACAACGGATTTACGTACAGAATGAATGTCGCTAAGAAGCTCTCTTTATTTACAAGATCTCTGTTTTGTTTCCTTATAAACGCTAGTTAAGTAAGAAACGGTACGATGTCGGTACGCAGTTTAAAACGTGTACAACACGTTCGAGGATCGATTTACAGTGTACATATATATATATATGCTTGTAAAAACGTCGAGCGACGTTGTTTCACGCTAGATTCACGAAATCCGTCGAAACCCGACGGGTTCACTGATCTTTCTTAATTCGATTAATGAATCTCTGGATCTGATCTTTTTTACAGATCTTTTTTCATTTACGATTATTCGAATTTTGCATTTACTTGTACACTTTTTTTTAATATAACCTTCTTCGGAGCATATCGGACCAAACGTCTCGTTGTTGCTTTCACAAACTGACATAAATACATATACTGTTTTTCTTGTTGTTGTTGTTGCGCTCCGTGAATCCAGCGTCAATACGAAAAAGTTTTACTCGTTCCGTCGATGGGAACATCGAAGATTCATTTGATACATATACAACACGGTACACGTCCATAACGCTTAAAACTAAAAGTTGGCAAATAATCGACTCGCGCCTTAGAAGAGACTCTTTATCACGTCTTTTTCTCACGATCGTAGAAAAATAATCGAGCGGTTGAGTTTGAACGTTTCGTTGGAAACGTTCGTCCGGAACATCCGTGGTACGGCGAGAACGTTCACGGTTTTTCGAGTCGATATACAGGGTGTGGCGGGTTCCTCGGGTCATTCCAAGCAACTTTTTCCTTTACAAAAATGTTCTCCGAGGCACCGTTAACGAGTTATCAACGAAAAACAGCGACCAATGAGAGGCGAGCGCGGCTGGCGCGCGGCGACCGAGCCAATGAACGGAACTGGGCTTCGCGCGCTGCTTGGCTGGGCCGCCTCGCGTCAGCCGTACTCGATTCTTATTGGTCACTGTGTTTTCGTTGATAACTCGTTAACGGTGCCTCGGAGAACATTTTCGCAAAGGAAAAAGTTGCTTCAAATGACCTCAGGAACCTCCCATTTCCGGGACAACCCTGTACGTATATATCAGTCTTATAGACGAGCTTTCGAAGTCTTTGATTCTCGTATCAGTGCTGTCAAAAATGAAGCCTTCTTTTACGCTAACAATCGATGTCTATCTCACTATCACGATTCGATCGTGTCCAGCTCGGAGCCGCCGCCGATTAAGCCACGCTTTGAACTACAAGATTTTGTCGGATCGCAAAACAACCTTTCCGTGCTAAACAATTAAGCTCGACCGGTGCCGTCGCGTATCTCGTGGAGCGGAGAAAATCGTTTCCCCTTTTATTATACAAAGACAAAAGCGCATTCGTCGGGAAACGCCGTAAAACATCGTTCTGTCGCGGTGAAAAAAAATTTCTTTCGTTCTCTTGGCAAGATTTCGACTTATCTAATAAATCTGCATCTTTGGCATGATTTTAAAAAAAAGAAAAAAAAACAAAAAAAATACAGCGCTACTGGCTCGCGCCGACGTCCTAAAGTCGTCGGCGACGTCCTAATTGTTAAGTTGAGAAAGGAACTGTAGAGAAGCTGTTCTCGCTTCTCTTTTACAAAAAAAAAAACAAAAAAGAACTTCGACTTTCAAAAAAACGCGAACATCGTAATCGCGCGAAATCGATGGAAATACAAAACTGTAGTAAACGTAGTCGTCGTTGGTACGCGTCGAACCTGCGTCGAGCTTAGATTGACGCAAGGAACTCGCGTGATTCATTGCGATTGTACGCACCGGTCTCGGAATGTGGTAGAAAATGAGGACACTGTTCAGAGATCGCTGGAGACGGAGGCAGAGAGAGAGAGAGAGAGAGAGAGAGAGAGAGAGAGAGAGAGAGAGAGACAGACAGACAGACAGACAGACAGAGGAAAATAGAAAAAGTTAGAGAGAGAGAGAGAAAGCTAGAAAAAGGGAGAAAAAGCTAGAAAGAGAAAGCTAGAGAGAGAGCGCGAGAGACAAAGCGCGCGAGAGAGAGAAAGCTAGAGAGAAAGCGCGAGAGACAAAGCGCGAAAGAGAGAAAGCGCGAGGTACAAAGCGCGAGAGATGAAAAAAGCTAGAGAGAGAGCGCGAGAGATAGAGAAAGCTAGAGAGAGAGAGAGGAGAGAGAGAGGGAGGGAGAGAGAGCGAGAGAGAGAAGAGAGTTAGAGAGCTAGAGAGAGAGAGAGAGAGAGAGAGCGAGCGAGAGAGAGAAGAGAGCTAGAGAGCTAGAGAGAGAGAAAGCTAGAGAGAGAGAGAGAAGAGAGCTAGAGAGCTAGAGAGAGAGTGAGAGAGAGAAGAGAGCGAGAGAGAGAGAAGAGAGCTAGAGAGAGAGAGGGAGAGAGAGATAGAGAGAGAGGAAAGCTAGTGAACTATAGAGAGAGATAGCTAGAGAGAAAGAGAGAGAGAGTGAGAGAGAGAGAGTTGCGCGTCGCGCTCGGACGCGCAACGTTACCATTCGACGGGAACAATAGAGAATCTCTCGTACGGAATTCACAGCAGCTTGTGAACGTTGGTCTCGTGACGCAACAAATAGTCCCTACGCTTGAACTTTCTGCCGCACAGGGTGCACTTATGTCTGGGCAGCTTCCCGCAGCCCTCGCGCAAGTGTCTGGTCAGGGAATCCGTCCACGTGTAACGCTTCCCGCACTTGTAACAGATGAACGGCGCGTCGTAATTGACGCGATTGTGGTCCCTCTTCGATTCTGGAACAGATCGCAAAAAAAAACGGTAATGAGATCGATGAGTAATTCCGTGAAACCGCATCACAGTTCTCTCGTTGATGCAATCGGAGGACGGTGTGTTACCATTTGCGTCTTCGCGAACCGGGCTACGCGCCGCAGCGACGCGCGCCGACTTCGCGGCGAAACTCTTTGGAGATGGAAAATTATTTCTCAGAGAATCAGTCGACGCACAGGGTTTTCCTTCGTCGAAGCTCGTTCACGCGCAGGCAGTGAAAATTAAATGCTAGGAGTCGGTGCTGTATTTGCTTGAATATTTCGAATATTATTAGTGCTGGAGCGATGAGTCGATTCGTGAAATTGTGCACTTTTTAAAATGGTTAATAGATGTGTTAAGGAATGACACATTTTTTGCGAACTTTTCCATTCAAATGTCGATCTATTTTGCTGAATATTTGTGTGCAAACTGCAAAATATGAACGGAATAGAATTTTGTTTTTTACATGTCAAAAGATGTTATTATAATTGAAATTGTTTAGCATTTTTTGCAATACTAAGGCCTGCGACGCGAACTGAACAAGTAGGATATTTTTGTAATATTTTGGATGACGAAGTACGACGAAGCTTCATATGGAATGGTGAACAATTACCAAACTGCTTCGAATACTAAACATACTAAAAATACTCGGTACTTAAAAATAAAAGTGTTAAATGTCTGAAAAGATATGGTTGCTCTGAAAGAAGCTAATTGTAACGTGATATTGGCAGAAAATTGAGAAATGTTTAAATATAATAAATAATATAATAAATTATATAATAAATATAATAAATATATAATAAATTACATATAATAAACTATTTGACATTTTAAATTGTTGCAATCTTTAACAAAAGCCTAGTTGAATAAAACCACTGATAATTTGTAACCATTGCAAATGAACTATCGAGTTCTACCATCACTTAATTGAGACAATATCGCGAAAATATCCTGCTGATTTAATCATCGACATCTAAGGCCTCCATATTGCAAAAAGCTGCACAAATAAAAATGTGAATAACTCTTTTTAAAAGGCGAAAAGTCAAAATTGTATTTCATTCGTATTTCGCAGCTGCGTATACACTTCGCAGGCATAAATATTTAACGAAACAGGCTGACATTCGAGAGGGAAAATTAATGCGAAAAAATGTGTCATTGTTTGGTAATTTTTTTTTTAAACAAGTTAAAACGCAGCTGCATTCTCGATTAAAAAATACACAAATATACAATTATAACCAGCCTCTAACAATTCTCGAGAAATTCGAGCAAATTTGCTTCCGTCCTCCAATTTCGGGGGGGAGGGGGGTTGTTTTCACCCCATCGACGCGCGAACGACAGAGCCGACAAGAGAAATATCTGTCGAACTATTTTCCTAAGAACTAACTTTCCCGAAAGTTTCGTCGGAATCTATGCGCATCAACTTCGGCGTGTTCCCTTGTTAGTATCGTCCGTCTTCGAGACTCTCAAAAGTCAGATGATAAAGTTCAGGGGAGGCGAGAACGGGGAGACGATTGAAAAAGGAGAGAAATGTTTACTGGACGGTCAACTGTCTTTATTCTTCACAGCACACCAGCTATAATACTAAACATGTTCCGACTCTCGGCGGTCTTCGTTACAATTTATACCGACGTTCTTCGTTACAACGGCTGGCGGCACGCGTGCGTTGAAACGACGACAATTAATTATTAAATTAATTTAACGCGTTAAGAGCCGAAACGTCAACTCGAAAAATTTACACGATGTCGAAGTCGTTTAATTAATGACACCGAAACTAGAGAGCGAAAATTTAAGAAGTATTGCTTCGGTTATTTTGTATTCGACAAATCTTAGTAATATTCGATTCGATATATTATAATAATATATTACAGTAAAAATGAATTTAAAAAATCTAGTTAAAGATTAGCGTCGCTCATACGCGACACTGCAACGTATTCAAATGCATTGCGTCCGTTTCAGCATTTATTAATGCTAAATTGTTATATTAATATAATTAATAATATTATATAATATTATATTATTATGTTATATTAATAATATTATACTATCATATTATATTATAATATTATACTATTATATTATATTAATATTATATTATTATATTATATTAATAATATTATATTATTGTATTATATTATAATATTATACTATTATATTAATAATATTATATTAATGCTAAATATCGACTAATTTAGTCGACAAAAAAATACACGCACTCTAAATGTATTTCTCTGTTGTCTAACGTTCGTTATTTCAACGCTCGCGTGCCTACAGGCCTATAATAAGTTCGACGAAATTCGCAAATACCTTATTGTCGTAGGAGCATTAATGAGAATAGTCGATCAGATGATGTTACAGCGACGAGACGGTCTACTCGACGAGGATCGTGGCTGACCACATGGTACGAACCGGAGAGAATAGTATCAAATTACTCTGGTGTTGACGGATCGATTACAAAACTGTTTTCTTTTTTCTAATACTAACGTTCGGATGGTCTCCGAAGGTATAACTACACTATATTCTTTTTTAGTCACTTTTCACCATGGTGAACTTCACTGCACGAAATAGTTTTCTCTCACGCTAATTCTGCGACCGCAATTCAGACGAATTATTATATTATTTATAATAGTATTTGTTTCACATCGGTTTTATTTTTTAAAACTGTAATTATTTATTGATTATGTTATTATCTGTGTAATGAAAAAAACACCGTAAGCGTTACTATTATTATTATTATTATTTTTTAGATTTTTTGAAACAGCGACCCTAATTAGAAAATAATAGATTGACATTTTCGATGGATTTTTTACTTATGTGCATAGGTATAGTATGTGATATTGAATAGTCCCATATTCGGAGAAACAATGTGAAAACCTAGAAATTCAATAGAAAATGATCGAGTGTAAACAATGAATTTTAAAGGTTTCCACCCTTTAGTTGCGGACAATGGCCGCTCAAAAATAATGTCGAATATATTAACAATAATATATTAAGTATTAACAAATCTAAAGATTTGTGTAGAGGCACTTTTACATTAATAATGTCCCGTAAATTGTTTCTTACTAATTGTTCGGACGTTTCATGACGCTTGTCGTAACAAACATAACAAATTATAGCGTCATTTATATATATATGAAGAGGAAACAGATTTTGAAAAACTTGTCGAAAAGTTACTAAAAAAGAATGCAATCCAATCATCATAATGATTTCTCAGAATCATGTTATTCAAGTCAAAAATCACTGTATCGAATAAATGTTTTATTCTTTCACTTCGTTGACTTTTGAATAAACAAAATTTCATATATCTTACTTGATAGATATATAAGGTTAATTATACCCGAAAATAAACGGAAGGCACAGCAATTGGTCACCCCACAGTAACCGACTCCATTACTCTACCCATCTTTACAGCTGCACTGAAAGATGCAATAATAAAAAGCTCGCAAGCTTTCAAGATAGATCTTTCGCTTGTAAAGCCTATAAAAAAATCTATTTGCTATATCACTTAAGTACGTTAGGCGCTTACACGATTCCGTTATTGTCCCCATTTTGTTTCTGCTGTACCGGGTGTCGCTAAAAAAGATACCGGGTGCCTCATAAAAAAGCAAGCACGAAAAAAAGAAATATAGAACAACTTTCTTTCGTTTTGATCTTAGTTTTCTAGAAAATCGTGTTTGAAAATTCGCTTTGTACAGGCCGTTTCGAAATTATATTTCACGACCATCGCTACGGGCTTTTCTCGAAAACTAAGTCTCAAATAAAAAGAAGTTATTTTATATTTCTTCCACGGGTTTTTCTACGAGGAATCACCCGGTGCCCGCTTGTAGACACCGTTCAGAGACACCGTGTATGAAATATGTGTACATTAAGTGTTCTATCTCGATCGTACCCACTCGCTGACTTCCAATAGTCATCTTGGAAATGTATGGAACTAAGTACAGCACTTTAGAAATGCGCTAAATTCTCTCTAATTGACGCTCGGATTGCACACAAAAGTGGACAATTTAGGAAAAGGGGATGCGATTATCGGATCCTTGCGGCTCGTTTCTATAGTTACCGATTGTCAACAACTATAAAAAAAGAAGAAACGAGTCGCAAGGCTATAATAAATATATATAAATAATCGAATAAAATCGTCCATTTTTCTGCACAATCTGAGCGTCAATTAGGGAGAATTTACTGCAGAATGATGAAAGTAACTCGCTTAATAGAGATATTCTACTTAAAAACAGCAGTATAGTTAATCGAGATTGCCGCCAAGTAAGTACTAATTCCTTATTCAAATGAAAAAGAAATAATTTCATTTCGATATGGATCGTATTTAAGTCACGTATACTTCCACATATACCACATATACTCCACGTACACCCTAATCTATAAAAAAAGCACTACACTCTAAACTAAATACACCCTCTATAAAAGGATAAGCCGCGTTCATTCTCGTTTCAACGACTTCCGATTGTAAAATAAAATTCTTTATGTAACCTAATTCGTGATTATTTATAAAAGGAGTCCTGCTCACCGATTCCGTGAATTTCCGGCCTCAGGAATCGGCGCAGCGAATTCTCCGCGATTGTCGCTCGGCCTGCGAACAACGACGGACAATTTGGAGCGAGGAGACACGACTGTTCGCGTCGGCGATCGTCGACAACGACGAAGAAACGAGCCGCGAGGCTCGAACAGTCGCGTCTGCTCTTTCTAAATTATCCATTATTATTTTGTTTACAAGCCGAGAGACAATTATTGGAGAGAATTTAACCGTGCGCTCTCTCGCGTTACAAATTATTTGTGAACCCTCTTGAAGTGAGACGTCAGCACCTGCTTGTGCCGGAACTTCCTGCCGCACATGGAGCACGTGTACCTCGGCTCCACCCCGCATTCATACTTCAAATGCTTGATCAGGGAGTCCCGCCATCGGTACTGTCTTCCGCAGTTCTTGCAGGTGGCCAGCTGCCGGTTACCGCCGCACTCTTCCCGCACGTGACGATGATACGAGGATTTCCAGATGTAGCTCTTGCCGCATATCTTGCACTGGTACACGTTGTAGCTGGTCACCGTGCCTTGTCCCGCGGCGAGTTGCCACCCTGAAACCGTGGTTACATCGTCAGTCGTGCAACGAGCGATAACGTCTACCTACCGTTTATCGTACGGGGGCCTCTGAAACGAGAGCCGAATTCGTTTGGCATCTATACGGAGCCCAGCTACGTTCTATACCATTCGATACATTCGCGTAAATTGTCCCTAATTCGCGCTCAAATTCCACACAAATATCTGGACAATTTGTCCATATATAACGTAAGGCTAATATACAGGCTGTCCCAAAAATGTATTGTTATACGGTAATGACGGGTTCCTTGGATCATTTGAAGCAACTTTTTCCTTTGCGGAAATGTTCTCCGAGGCATCGTTAACGAGTTATCAGCGAAAATGTGGCGAGCTCGGCCGACGCCCCGCCCTCGCGACCACTGCCGCCGCATTGGCCGCGAGGGCGGAGCGCCGGCCGCGCTCGCTCGTCGATTGGTCTGGCGTTTTTCGTTAATAACTCATGAACGAAGCCTCGGAGACAATTTTCGTAAAGGAAAAAGTTGCTTCGAATGACCCGGGGAACCCGCCACTTTCGATATTTAAGGCTGTCGAGTGACCGTGTCCCCTCCCGAATCGTCCATCACTGCGCACAATCCGAGCGCGAATTACGGAGAATTCCTAAACAAATCTCCTCGGAGATTCGTCGCCGTTTCGATAAAAAAAAAGACGCGTAGAAACGCATTCACACCAACTGGTTCGACATTAACCTCTCGCCGTGCTTCGACGAGATTTTCAATAATAACTTGTTAACACAAGCGAACGTGACGACGATGCACCGCGAAACTAGCTTTTCTCGGTCTGTTCCCGCTTCCGTTCGACCGAGGCGCGCTCCATCTGGAGGGGGATCGCGGTACTAACGTGCTAGCGGCGGCGGTAGTGGCGGCGGTGGTGGTGGGGGGAAGCGGTGGTTGCGAAAGGAGGTTGTAAAACTAACCGTAGAAAATCGGGCATTTATTCTGTATTGCGTACAAGAAACAGTCGTCGTCTAGGCGATCGCGTCGATGGAAACGAAGAGAGGAATAGTGTTCGTCCGCGCGCGTCCGTTGCGAGAAACTAAAAGCGCGCGCGAGACGTCGCCCGGGCCAGTGAATACTCGTGAGTCACGCCAAGTCGAAGCGAGGTTACGAGCGTCCGTGTCATATGATGTATCTGTGAACCGTCAACACGTGCCGCTGGTAATTCGACCGTTGCTTGAACGCCTTCGGGCAGTAACGACACTCGTACTGCGGAATTTTCCCGCACTCCTCCCGGAGGTGTCGATTCAGCGCGCTTCTGCTCCTGTAGGAGCGATGGCACTGGTTGCAGGGATACGGCTTTCGGACGTCCGGGCCGTCATGGGACAGGCTACGCGGATACCTGGACTGACCTGGAATCAGAATCGGAATCACGGTTAGTTCGTGGGGGAACGGTGGCGCCAGTTCCTCGTGAATCGACGACTTCGCGCGGATCTTCGCTAACGAAATAATAACCATCGGAGCGTTTCTTCACGGCATCAAAGCATAGGAGCAAACATCGTGTGTAATTCTTTCTTTATCTCTCTGTCTCTCTCCTCTCTCTCTCTCTTTTTCTCTCGAACAATAGTTACGGAAATTAAAAAATCGCGCGAACGTTGCAATCAAAATAGAAAGAAAATATACAAGGTGGTTCCATTTGTCGTGCGCGGTCGAACGTCTTCGCTGTTTTTGGCGGCGCGAGAAATGTGCGTCGAACGCGTTTAAAGCCGGGTGTTAATTTAATTACTTTAATTAATTAATTTAATTACGTGCTTCTTTTCGCGTGGTTCCGTCTCCCTCCGAGCTTTTTATCGTCGTTTTTTTTTCACGCGTCAGCATGCATCTTGATTACGAGGCAGCATTGCGGCGAGACGAATTCGATAAACTGTCGATAATTTGACCTTCGATGAGAGAAATCCCGCTCGTTTCGTTCGCCAGTTCGATTTCCCGATAGATATTCAAAAATCGAGGTTATAATGAAGCGTCTAGCACACACGAGAAACGCGAAGAAAACGTCGCAAAGTTTGACAATCCGTGCCCGAAAATGTTTCCATATCGTCGTCGGACAACGTTTTGAACGTTTATCGTCGAATAAATTATTACTGATAGTAAACAATGATTACAACTGAATGTTTGTTCATTTTTTGAAACTCGCCTTCGAACAAGCGCGATCGCGAGACGCTCGTTGCGATTGAACTCGCCCGGCGGTGCGCGCGCATTGCTGCGTCGTGAACAAAATGGCTGCCGATGCGTGAACATTGTGACGGCGAACGTTGGGAAGGAAACGATTTCGAGATCTCTGTTCGAGCACAGTTCCAGCGCATCTGGCGAAAGCAACGTGGACATTCGAACGCGTCGGTACAACGGAGACACCCGGTGCATATAAAAATCGCGATCGTAGAGAGGGTTGTTCGATTCTCCGTGGAGGGGGAGTGCAAGAGCCGGCGAAGAACACGGAAGCGCTGCGGTGATTGAAACTTAAAAAACAAATCGATTAAAATTAGCAGAATAAAGAAACGTTCGACAGAAGTGCAGAGGGCAAACTTTGAAAATATGCTGAATCGAGAGCGCGGCCAACGTATCTTCCGTGCGGGTAGGATCTTCGTCGGTCGGCAGGATCTTCCGTGTGTTCGTGGGGGGAGGCGGGTAGGTGGACGGCGGCCATCTTGAGAGAAGCGCGGAGAAGCCTGGTGCCGGAAAGTTGAAGGTTATGTCAGGTTAGACACACGCTGCGTTATTACCCTTGCAGTTACAATTTTTATTATTACGCGTACTTTCGATAGTTATAATGAAATTATAATAAAACCTACGTATTACGCGTTTGCGAAACTATAGTTACGTGAATAACCAAAAGGCCTCGGCGAACATTTTCATTTTTACCATTTCCTGAATAACAATTAGTCAACGTATCACAGAATCGTCGCTTACAGAATGAAATTTCTTAAACCAATAATCATATTAATAATTAGTACATCTTGATTTTAACCTGTTTACCACTCTCTCTCTCTCCCTCCCTTCCCTCCCCCCTAACCCCGCCCCGCGATTAAAACTCGTTTACTTCTCGTTTCGTTTCGTTTCGTTTTTCTTTTTTTTTTTTCGATAAATCGCCATGCAAATATCACAATGAAAATATGGTTTTCAGTCGCGCTCGCGAATCACCGCGCGGTAAAACCGTCCCGCGCGCTTCTTTCCTTTTTCTTTTGTTCTTTTTTCTCATTTTTCTCTTTCTTTCTCTTTTTTTTCCTAGCTCGTTCCAGAGTACGAATCCCGCCGGTGGCGCACACACGCGACAAGAACGAATAGAAATTCTTCCCAAAGACAAGGACACAAAAGGTGGGAGAGGCACATTTTATCCAAAAGAGCTGCTGATCCGTGAGAAAGTTCCGCGAGCGTTTGCCAAGCCTTATTCTCCTTTCGATCGCATAATCGTTTAACTATCTAGCTAAGGTGTGAGAGGAACGTCGATAAAAAGTATAGTTATAATTGGACTCGGCGCGTAAATGAGAACGGTGGCTAAATACGGCACGAAGCTGCACGTGCTTGCGTAAAGAAAGCGAGAAAGTGCAATTAGGGGTTGATTCACGCTGCCCGTCAGGCGACTCGCGCTCGTCGCGGCGCAACCTTGATCGACGAGGTCGATCGATCGACTTTCTTCTTTTTTTTATCATCTTCTTGTACTCGCCGTTAAAAGTACGCCGCGCGTTAATTAATATTAATGTAATATTAACAATGTAATGTTAATAATTAAATACACGTATGTATTAGAACAGAGCACCTCGTTCCAGTCCACTGTAAAATCCCTGCTCGAAGATCGGCAAAGCAATTTCTCCTCTCGTTCGCTTTTTCATCATTATCACGCCACGATTTCGTCAACGAAGGCCTGCCGATTTCGTTGACACCCCCCATTTTCAACGAGGAAGCGACGAGGGATGAAATTTGTCCTAATCGACGCTCGGCTTGGACACAAAAGCGGACGATATTCGCGCCGAAAAATTCAACGATGTTTCCTTAATTTTTAACGCTCGATTACTCGAACCTTGCGCCTCGTTCTCGCCTCAATCAGCGACAGTTAAACGCGCGAGAAATCTTCCGAAATTGTCCATTTCCGCGCGCAACCCCCGAGCGTCGATTCACCGCAGTTCCTGGGGATCGAGTAAAAATTGCGCGCCGACAAATGCTCCGCAAAAGGATCTCTCCCGGCGACGAATCAGCCGGAAAGAACCGAAATTCCCACGCGATCGTCCGAGTCGAACAACGGCTACGCCAATGCGAACCCTCGCGTACCATGGCCGCGCTTGGACCGTACGTTCTACGCGTTATAAAAATGTATAAGTAAATCGTCCGTACGGAATCTACTGTAGGTACACGTGACTATTGTACAACTTAGAAAATAATACGGTTGCTTGTGGGTAAAACGTGAACCCGGAAAACCCCATGAGAACCCATTCGAGGGTCGCTCGAGCAGCGCGCGAGGGTCGACGCGGCGCCTAAGGCAGAGAGAACGCCTAACGGAGAACGTGAATCGGTCTTTTAAGTCGCGTAAGATTCTTCTCGAGAAGGTGCTTCAAAGACACGCTGTGAACGGTGTATCTTCGGACGACGAGGACGACGGCGCCGGTAATCTTCGTGGTCGTTTGCCGCGGCTTCTGGGCCGCCGTTCACGGATCATGAAGGAAGGCGCGCCTGTGCATGGTCGAGTTGTGCCGCTGGAAGTTAGCCTTCTGTTTGAATCCCTTGTCGCAGATGCTGCAGATGTATTGGGGCGGTTTGCCGCACTCGACGTGGAGGTGCCGCTTCAGGCTGCCCTTGGTCTTGTAGGATTTACCGCACTTGTGGCACGGGAACGGCTTCGACAAGAAATCTTGACCCCGAAACAACGTATACCTGTTCCTCGACCAACTACCTGAAACTTAGAGGACGAAACAGCTCGATTACTAAAACAAGTGTGGGCCCAGGGTCGCGCGTTACCGACGCTTATCCATAGAACGGATCTTCAATGATGCTCCGCCGTTCGGACCGACACGTGATCCAAGCCGTCGCGAGGACGAGCGACGCGACTAGGAGCCGCGCGGGCTTCAGCAACGACGAGGATCACTCGCGTGTGTTTACCAACCCATCGGGCGCTCTGTGCGCGGCGGGGCTCCGTTAACCCGTTCTCTCGACCGCTTCAAGGTCGACTCGAGAGTTCGTTCGCCGGGCCTCGCGGCATCCTATGGCCCATCGCGGCCCAACGCGTGGAAGAGAAGCGTATCGGAGGCTGCGCCGACTGGAATAGACGCTCTAAATACAGAGTGTCCCAAAAATGTCTCGCAATCCGAAAGTAGGATTCCTGAGGTGATTTGAAGCAACTTTGTCCTCAGCGAAAATGCGATCCGCGGCTTCGTTTACGAGTTATCAACGAATGAACGGGGACCAATCGAAGCGCGAGCGCGGCCGGCGCAGCGTCGGTGTCCGCGAGGGCGTGGCGCCAGCCGCGCGCGACGTTTAATTGTCCAGCTATTTCCATCGATAACTCGTAAACGAAGCCTCGGAGAATATTTTCGCAAAGGAAAAAGTTGCTTCAAATCACCTCAGGAATCTCCCATTACCGGATTGCGAAACAAGTATATAAGAAGCCGATAAGAAGAACCGAAGGCGGCTGGGTTGAACGGAGCTGCTCCGCGGCGCACAGAGCGGCGCGCGCGCGAGCAATGCTTTTCTACAGAGAAGAGGCTGGGAGTGTGAACAATCTCCGCGAAGGAATTCCCGGGAGAATGAGAGAGTAATAACGATTCGAGGGGGAGGATGATTGCAGCCTTGTGTGCGAAGAGGTGCTTTCGGTTGAGATCTTCAGTGATGGCGCCCGGGGCGGATCTTCGGGTGGCGAGCGGGTGAAAATGAAATAACGAAACGTCGCGGACAGAGATCTGCGAGTTACTTCCGATAGTTTATTTCCAAGAAAAGCGAGCGTCTCTTCTCTCACTCACTCTCTCACTCACTCACTCACTCTCTCTCTCTTTCTCTCTCTCTCTCTCTCTCTCTCTCTCTCTCTCCGAGAGGCTCGCGAAGCTTCTACGTCCGCCTCGTCGAGCGGGCAACGAGCGAACCGCTTCGCGAGCCTTTCTCGATTACAAGTCGCGGTCGGAGATCTTCGTGGCCGGCGTTCTTCAGATCTTGAAGCCGTGGACGTTCGCGCTGTGCCGTTGGAAGTTCGACTTCTGCTTGAAGCCTTTCTTGCACACGTAGCAAATGTACTGGGGGCTCTTGCCGCACTCGTCCCGCATGTGCCGCCGCAGAGTGTCCTTCCGCGTGTACGAACGGTCGCAGCTGTGGCAAGGATACGGCTTGCGGCGGTGGTCGCCGCGTTTCCCGGCCCTCCTCTTGCTTTCTGTAAACAGAAAGAAGAACGGTACCCGAAGGCGGCCACTCAGGTGCCATTGCGCGTCGAGTTCGGTCGCGAATTGTTTGCGTCGAAGTGCCGCAAGGAAGGTGCGCTAGCTAACGCGACGCGGGTCGTAGACCTTCGACGTCTCTTCGAGCGAACACAGAGCCTTCGAGCTTGCAATTCGAGCTTGCAGTTCCTGCGGGAGAGAAACCCGTGGCGCACAGAGTTCGTCGAGAGGATCATTTCGATAATTTTCCCGGCGCCAAAAATTTTCGAAATATCGTCCACCGATGGCCGACGATTTTTCGACGATTTTTCGACACAGCCGAAGAAACCGAGGCAAAAGCCGGCTCGCCAGGGTTTGACCCTCGTCGCAGGACCTTCGAGGGTTAGTGCGAAGAGTCTTTATACACGAGAACGTTCGAGAGAGAGCCGGAGACGAGGCGCGACAGAACGATTCTCGTCTTACCTGCCGTTCCCGGTCGCGCTTCCCACGGAAGAACACCTTCGAATCGGTCCTGAAACCAACAGAAAAACGAGACAAAAGAGAGACGAACAAGAAAGAAAGAGAAAGAGAGAGAGCTGCTTGCGACAACACAAGTGAAAGAGAACGGTAACAGATTCGAAGACAATTTATTGCGAGAGATGACGAGCTTCGTCGCTGTACAAGAAATCCGTCGAATCTTAAAAATTAGAGCAGTCACACACGTCGCGGACGTGTTCTCAACGTTCCGGGCAATCTTCCCGGTGCGATTCATCGATCGTTCTCCGCACTCTGTACCTTCTCGTGGCGAGAATAGAACGGAAACTCGCCGCGCGTTCGGCGACGAGGCAAACGGAACCGTGCGGCGATCCGTTTCCTGAATGCGAGTTCTCCTGTTTCGATCCGAATTCACTGAGTCACTTTTCCGCAGGTGATCCAGGCTCGCTAGACTTCCTTGGCAGTCCGTTTCAAGAACTATGTGCAGCATCTGGTCGCTTGTTCCACGAACGTGTTGCTCGGAGGTCGAGGGCGACGCATAAATGCGAGAACACGAAGAACACGAAGAAGACTGTGCCACGCGGAGACTTCAAGAATATCCTTGCGATTGTTCCGACGATTATCCAGGCCCACGGAGAGTTCTTCCAGCGGGAGCGCAGCTCTGTCTTCGGCATCCGAGTGCGATAAAAAGCTCGAGCGCGGCGCAGCGAGAAGGTTTCTGCTCGGCAGAATCGCGAGAAGAGCTTCTCTCCGAGCGATCGGATCGTTTATTTAATACTCGTCGGATCTACTGGCAGCAGGCCCGGACGTCCTCTCAGATCATTTGGTGCATGTAGGTCAGGTGATAGGTCAGATGGTGCTTCCGTTTGAACCTGCGGCCGCACACGGTACAGCCGAACTTTCGCTCCGTGCCGCACGCGTAACGCATGTGCTTGTACAGAGAGTCGCGTCTGGTGTACTGTTTGCTGCAGTTGCTGCAGCCGTAGGTCTTCTTCAGCGGCTGCAACGACGGCCAACCTGAAAACGGAGACGGACGTTCATTAGAAACAGGGGACGCGCCGTTCGGTGCCGCACGGGATTCTGGAACCGGAGAACATAGAACGAAGGAAACGTGCCGAGAGGAGAGAGAAAGAAAGAAAGAAATAAAGAAAAATAGAGAGAGAGAGAGAAAGAAAGAGAGAGAGAGAGAGAGATAGCTACGAACTGAAGAGCGGTCGGTGGTTGCTGAAAACGCGTTCGCCGTTGACAGTAGAATTTTATTCGACAAAGGTACAGCTTTCTCTAACGGTCGGTCGCGCGTCACTGGTACGTCAGCATGACGGCGACGTTCGGCTGGTCCAGCTGATGGATGGCGGACACGTGTTTCATTAAATGGTGCTTGTGCATGAACCGATAGCCGCAGAACTCGCAACAGAACTGCGGCAGTTTCCCGCACTCGATCCGCCTGTGTTTCAAAAGCGACTCCTTCCACTTGTACGATTTGCCGCAGGTGCCGCAGACGAATCTTCGTTTCTGCGCGAGCTCCGCGTTCTCGTGGCTCGCCGCCGCCGCCGCCGCCGCTGCTGCAACTGCAGCCGCCGCAGCCGCTGCTCGTTGCTGAGGACAAGCCGACCGACCGGGCCCGGTCCAATCTGGAAAATGTCGCAAACAGAGAACACTTTGAAATCTCGACGGAGCTTGTTTCTTGCCGCGGGCGGTCGCGAGAGCGGCCTTTCAACGATCGATCCCGCCGCGGATCTCTCGTTCGTTAAATCGCCGACAAGACACAGCCCCCTTTTCCCGCCACCCCCTCCCCAACGACGGGCGGTGTCCTGAAACGAACACAAAACACGCTCTGGTTTTCTTTTTTCTCACACAGATCCACGAATTTTTATTCACACGGCATATTTTTTCCAGGAGGAGAGACAAACACGGACACACGTCGTCGGGTCAATAAATTACAAAAATAATACACGTGGCTTTCTCATTGTGGAAAATTAGTCGATGGAGGAAGAACTGTTCTCTCTGTTGGTCTGGGAAGCGCTTTACGGCACGGGCTCGGGTTCCCGCACCGGGACAAATCAATCACTCGACGCCCGTCTCATCCGTCTCGACGCGATCGTTCGAAGGCCGCCGGCTGCTCGAGCAGCGATCGACGCCGATTCGGGTAAGTGGTGTTCCGTTAAGCCGCGTCTACACCGAGGCTACAAATCGGCCAACATTTTCTCCACAGTTTCGTCTCTCGTTGCTGTCGATTCACGGAAACGTTTCGTCCACGTCCGATGGTCTAAACTGTTCTTCAGGGTTACTTTAAGTAGTACGTTAACGTTCGACAGCTGATCTGATTCGTTCCTGCAAAATTTCAGCCCTGTAACCTCTTCGTAAGGGTAGTTACAGGGTTAAATTAGACTTGGCCGCTTCTCCGCGCACTTCCCCACCCCCACCGGGGGAACTTTGCGCGACTTTTGAAAATTTTGGAAAAAATCTGGCTTATTTCGGACATCAAGGCGCATACCACAGAATTTTTTCGGATTTTTCGGCAGCAAGCTGTGGACATGAAAAATGGAAAAGCAAACAAGAATCGGGAGAATCGAAGAGGTCTCGATAGGTCGTGTCAAGGTCAATCCCCGGGAACCGACGCTACTGGAACGAAAAGGCAGTTCAAGAGAGCATATTTGCTCGTGCCGCGGTGTGGACGCGGCTTTAAGATGTCCGAGAAGAAGACCGCGATCGAGTATCCGCGAGGCTGAAGTGAAATCGCGTCGACGAAGGAGCGGCGGATTCTCGAGCGGCCGGCAGGCCTCGAACGAGGTCACGTGCAAGCGCGAAACACTGTCGGAACTAAAACACTGGACGAGAGACCGAGGACTCGTGACGAGGCTCCGGAAGGGCGAACAACGCCTGTCGCCGATGTTCGTTCGTTCACGAGGTTCAGCAGCTCGCGTAGTCCGGGTTCCTCGGATCTTTCAGCCGACAGCTCTTCAGGTGCTGTGTCACGTGGTGCTTGTGCTTGAACATTTTGCCGCATTGCGGGCACGGCACGTTCGGCATTTTCCCGCACTCGTATCGCAGGTGCCGATCGAGGGAGCTCTTCTGGCTGTAGATTTTCCCGCAGCCGCACACGTGTTTCTTCAGGCTGGCCGAGAGCGAGGAGGACAGGGTCGAGGACAGCTCGTAGCTCTCCATGTGAAACCTCTCGTCTTTCAAGTGGAACAGGGCCAGCTCCTCTGAAATCAGAAACCGGTTGATCCCGTTAAACACTGTCGAGCCCACAGTTCGCGTACAGTGTCACGTGGTTGCATTTACACGCATTGTCTTCTTTCTTCTCCGACAGGATTTACATGTACGGGGTAAACGTGCCTGGTTTCGCGCTAAGTATCGGTTACGATGGGTCGATGCGTTCTTGGAACCTTCGTAGACGGACTCGCGTACCACAAGGTGCCCCGAAAACGGTGTCGCAAGCCGCAAATGAATCGTCGGATCATTTCAAGCAACTTTTTCCTTTGCGAAAATGCGATCCGCGGCTTCGTTTACAAGTTATTAGCGAAAAATGGGGGCCAATGAGCGGCGAGCGCGAGGCGGCGCGCCGCGGCGGAGCCAATCGGCGGAACTGGGCGTAGCGCGCTCGTCGACTGCGCCGCCCCGCGCGCGGCCGCGCTCGCATTTCGTTGACCGCTCCGTTTTTCGTCGATAACTCGTGAACGAAGCCGCGTAGAAGACTTTTGCAAAGGAAAAAGTTGCTCGAAATCACCTCGGGAATCTCTCGGTTAACGTTAGGACGGCTCTTCGTTTCCTGAAATAATAAGGTATTGAAACATCTCGAGCGTTCTCTCCTCTCTTCTTCTTGCGACCACGAAGACGTCGTCCCGTCCTCTACACAACAGTGAATTACACAGAGGGATACAGAGTTGCAATTCATTTGAGAAAACTTGTAATTAGAGATACGTGGAGTTACATTCGATGGATTCGCCGGTCGTCGATTTATCATATTAATTCGATTGAACAAAGCGTTTGTCACTTAATCGCGTACAATTTTCGGTGCCGCGTTCCTTCGTGCCTTACGGTCGATATCTCCGTGATAAAACGTATGGAAAGGCGACGTCTCCCGCCGCGAGCCCCTCTCACCACGGCTTGCAATTCATTTTCGTGACGTGCCGCAGCCACATGTACAGTTTGTTAGTCGCGAACGTGCATTTCTGGCAGCGATAGTCGGTGCCGCATTCGTTGTTCTGGTGGCACACGATCGAGAACTCGTGCTTGAAGCGGCGTCCACAGTGGCAGACAAAGCGACCTGAAAAAAACGAGACAGCCGTCAGTGCGACAATGATGACGATGATCGGGGGGAAAGAACCACTCGTGTGCTCGTCGAATCGTCGACAAGAGCTGTTAGCGAAGAGAGCTCGGCTCGGACAACACGATCGAGGACGTGAGACGATCATGCAAGGCACGTCGGCGTCGACGATACAAGACGACGAATTCCGAACGGAATGAGCGAAAAGCGAGAGAAATTCAGAGATTCTGAAACACGAAGAACGAACTCGTTTCTCGCAGCGTTTCACGTTTGCAAGCGAGCTCCGCGAGGAAGATCGAGTGACTCGAGAGGCCGAGCGATATTCGTAAGCGAACTTAAAACGTCGCGGATCGAACGTTTCGAGCGGAAAATCTCGTCGCGGAGAAAGCGTGTATACGTACAAAGCGAGATCCGATCCCGGCCGGTTCCGAGGTCGGCCGCGAGACGAATCGGCAGCGAATTGACGAAGAACGAGGTTGAAGAGATCGTTTGGCTGAACAATTAAATTCAATTATTTATTATTCGTCGAGTATCCTCGCTAACACAATGGTTATCAGTGATACACTCACAATGGTAATCGTAATTTGAAGTTCGCAGAAAAATCATAAACCATAAAGAATATATTCGAATATACAACGCCTGGTGTGCCATCGCCGCCGCGACGAGCGCGGTGGTTTTCTCTCGTTGAAATCGCCCCTCCGAATCTCTCCGTTAAATGTACGTTCTTTTCGCGCACACGTGTTTACCTAGATGAATAATAAATATTATGCAATTATAGTTTGTTTGCCTTCTTCATCATCTTCTTCTTCTTCCTTTCTTCCTTTCTTTCTTTCTTTCTTTCTTTTCTTCTTTTCGTTCCCTCCACTCTCTCTCTCTCTCTCTCTCTCTCTCTCTCTCTCTCTCTCTCTCTCTCATGTAGTACAATAATTAGTCGTGCTACCCCAACGCCTATAATAATAATAATCGTTGCCGGTACACACCACTGACGTCCCTCCGTCGGGGAGAGACAGACAATAAGAAAAAACTGTTGAACGCTTACGTGCTAATTATTATCATCGATCTCTTTGAAAGCAAGAGGTATCTCCGTTTTCGGACTTCCATCATAGTCGGGAGCGCCCGATTCTCGTCGGTTCCCGTCGTTTCCCTCCGCGACGATCCGAAAAAATCGTCGCCCACCTTACGCGTTACGCAATATACGTTATATATAATCGATTTTTTTTTAAATTTTTATTTACATACACAGTACTCTCTACGTGGGTGTTGCTCTCTTGTACTCGCGCGCACGCGTGTCCCTAGACAGATTATTCCCGGCTCCGTCGCGCACGGATGCGCACGGTCCTGAGTTACATACAGGGTGGCCGTTGGAAACGCGCGACGCGATCTCTCTCGCAGTCCTCTGCGCGAAATATTCTCCAGAAAGTATCGAAATTTCGTCCACGCGAAGTAAAAGTCCACCGTCGTGCTGGACCTTTTATTAAAAAAGAAAGAAAGGAAATATATATATATATAGAAGGTGTCCCATAATTATGCTACTTGCGGGAAACGAAGGATTCCTGAGGTCATTAGAAGCAACTTTTTCCTTTACGAAAATTTTCTCCGAGGCGTTGTTCACGAGTTATTCACGAAAAACGCTGACGAATGAGGGGCGAGCACTGCTGGCACTGGGCGGCGCCGAGTCAATGGGCGGAACCGAGCTCCGTGCACTCGGCGGCCGCGCGCCGGTCAAGCTCGCCTCCCATTGGTCACTGTTTTTCGTTAATAACTCGTTAACGAAGCCGCGGATTGCAATTTCGCTGAGGAAAAAGTTACTTCAAATATAACCTCGGGAATCCCTCATTTCTCGAAAGTACCACAATTTTGGGCCATCCTGTATATATATATGAATCGTTAATGTTTTATTGCAAATGAAAATGTTGTACCGAGAATTATTGCCACGAAATAATAGGACAACCACCCTGTATTGTTTCAGCTATGCGAACGTACGCGACGAGCCGCGCGACACGACGCACGTACGTGTCTCTCTTACGTATATAAAGTGGCTTCAAAATAATTCTATAGGCATTTGGTGTGCAACCATTCGCCGGCGCGAATGGCAACTCGAGTATTGCATAGCTAGCCTCATTTATATTGGCACAAAGGTTGCAAAATCAACGGAAGCGCGCCGGGAAAGCAGTTCTAATCGGACTCGTTCGATGGATCAAATATTTCACTGATCTGAAGATCTTTTATATTAGTACGGAATAATATTTTTGTATATAATATATAATAATAAATATTATATATAATATAATATGAATATAATATAATAAAAATTCATATTTTATATATTTTATCATATGCCACTGAAAGGGATAATTCCTGAGGCGATTTGAAGCAACTTTTTCCTTTACAGAAATTTTCTCCGCGGCTTCGTTTACAAGTTATTAACGAAAAACACTGACCAATCGGAGAGCGAGTGCGGCCGGCGCTCCGCCCTTACGGTCAATACCGTGACGCGCCGGCCGTCCGACACAGCGGCGGTGGTCGCGAGGGCGTGGCGTCAGCCGCACTCGCGCTCCCATTGGTCACTGTTTTTCGTTAATAACTCGTTAACGAAGCCTCGGAGACAATTTTCGTAAAGGAAAAAGTTGCTTCAAATCGCCTCAGGAATCAGCCTGTCGAACGGCTTGTAATATTTTCGGATTATAAAATTGAATAAAACAGACTAGAACACGAACAATAAAGTATACAGCGATTTAAACAATAAATACAGTAATATCTCCGTAATTCGCGCTCGAATTGCGCACGAAAACGGACAATTTGGGAAGAGGATAATCGAAAAAACTGCTTCCCAAAATACATCCGAATATCCTCGGATATATCGTCGAATATTCGCTGGCATCGAACGAATCCGACGAGACTGTTTCCCAGCACCGTCTCTCGATTTCTTGGAACCCCTCCTTTTTTGTTTTTTCATCTTCTTCTCTAACAGAACATCCTACGTCGCGAAAACGGCTGCCGAAAAAACGACGACCGCTCGCTCTAATTGCCGCGGCGACTACGCTGCGCGGCGTTCATTAGACGCCTCGTAATAAATTGTATTACCCTCTCACATCGTACAAGTTTTGTGTTTCAGTCTTTACGCATCTGTCTATACTCATCGTTCGCACGCTAAAAGGATCCGGACCATCGTCGTTCGATGTTCAAACGAAAGGAGAGATCGGCGAACGCGGGCTTCGCGCGATCGGCTCCCCGCGAAATCGCTTTCTTTCTTTGCTCGCGACAACGCTCGTTGCCGTCTGTGTTCTGCTTTATTTAATTTGTTTATTTGTATTCCCCCTCGTTGGAAGACACGTTCTCTGTTCCCCTTCGCGGTTCTCACGGAATCGACCTGCAAAAAACGGGGCCCGGCGTCGGCCCGCAAATCTCCCGGCACCAGCCGGACCGATTCGAACAACGGTTTTCATTTCTGTGTGTATATGTGTCGTTGTGTTGTTTCTATTTTTTCTTTTTTTTCTTTTCGTTTCGCTGTGGCGTACGTCTGTACGTGCCTCTCTGTGTGTATCTGTGTGTCCGTGTGTGCAGCGTGTGCGCTCGCGCGCGCACGGTGTTGTTCTCGTCGACAACGCTAAAGATCTGTGCTCTAAAAATAATTTTGCGGTTCGAGAAAACGGATATGAAAAACGCGACGCGACGTCGATATAATAACAATAACATTCAGTTCACACTGATAACAGTAGCGACTCGGATCACATTTTAGGCACATGGAGGCGACCCCCCGGGGGGGATGGTGGGGGCGGGGTGTTGGTGGGTCGCCTTTACAAAAGTGGCATCGAATTCTTTGGCACAAAGAAGCTCGCGAAGAAACGGAAGAGGCTGGCGTTTTCTTTTGTCCGATACCGCCATTCGGTCCTAAGTTCGTCACGGAATTTCTGTCTTAACACATTGACCGCCACGGCGTACCTACACAACGAATGCATACGCAGATCATTTTCGGTTTAGTGAAATCAAAGAAACTGTAGTTCCGGTTCGCCCATTTCGGCCGGCAATTTCATTGCGACTCTACGCTGCTACATTCCGAAAGAAAAGAAACGTTTTTTTGGCACCGCGCGAATTTCTACCCATAATAGCCACCGAGATCTGGCTGTCAACGTGTTAGGATCATTCGAGATCAACGAGGACGAGCACGTAGAAGCTGAGAGGTTCACAGTGCAGGCTGTTCCAAAATTATTGCACGAGCGAGAAACGAGGGGTTTCCGAGGTGATTTGAAGCAACTTTCTCCTTTGCAAAAATTTTCTACGAGGCTTCGTTCGCGAGTTATCAGCGAAAATGTGGCGAGCTCGGCCGACGCCCCGCCCTCGCGACCACTGCCGCCGCGTCAGACGGCCGGCGCGACGCCGCATTGGCCGCGAAGGCGCAGCGCCGGCCGCGCTCGCTCCTCGATTGGTCACTGTTTTTCGTTAATAACTCGTGAACGAAGCCTCGGAGACAATTTTCGTAAAGGAAAAAGTTGCTTGGAATGACCTCAGGAACCCCTCAGTAACCTCTCAAGAGTCCCTCAGGAATTCCTTGTTTCCAAAGAGTAGCATAATTCTGGGACATCCTGTATAGTCTCCGATAACCCCGTCGATCTGTTTTCCATTCTTCGCAACGAATTTTTCGAGGGCATTCGACGTTCTGCCGATCGATGGAAAAAAACGCGATCGATCGATCGATGCTGTCCCGATGAGAAACAAATCGACGGGGCGATCGTTGATTTCTGACACGAAAGACGGGTAAGTCGAGTGAGAGAATAGCCGAGAGATACCATTATCGACGACCGCCGAAGGAAAAGACGCGGTCGATCATCGTTTCCAACACTACGCCTAGCTTAGTTAGGTTCGATCGAACAATTCTCGAGATTAAAGATTGAAGATTGAAGATTTTTAAAGGTAAATGGGACCCATTCGGGCGAGAGCAACGCGCTCGAATGTAATAAAATTCGGCACGGGGAATGGCCCAAGGAGACGGGACCGAGACGGAGAAAAAGAGAGGAAAGATAGCGAAACTGGAAAGAGTTATGGTTTTTTTCCCCTTGGTTAAATTCTCTAAGTCTACGTAGTTAAATACGAGATTCAACGGGTGTACGGTATTTTTTGTTTTTTTTTTTATCGGTTACGCTTTTTCGCTGATTTTTAACGCTTGCCCGGTACGAGAATCATCGTCGGCGTTCGGGTTCTGACTAGAATTCTGTTACGGAGTAATTCTTTGTCGAGTCTTTGGTCCTTGCTCGAGGAGTTTCTCGAATTCGTTGGGTCTCGGAGGAAGCTCGTGTAGAGAAATTTGCCGCGAGGATCGCAATGTGTCACGTATTGTCCTCGAAAAACCAAGGATATTATCATCGGTTGTTTATTGGCTGTTGCGCGCGGAGTCCGTCGACAAGTTCATCCTTTAATATTTAATAATTAAATATCATTTCCCAAGTGAAAACGATGTTTAGCTGCTCTCAAATATTCGCAGTTTCTTTCGGCAACATAATCAGATCGAACGAAATCGAACGAATCAATGACTGAGCAATTAATAGAATCTATTAATTGCTAGGCGAAACATAACTTTTCCGAGACGATTGTAAGAAACGGAAAATGAAAATAAAAATAAGTTGTTTCTTTCAATAATTTTTCTAAGTCGAAAATAATGTTAACAATATTATTAAATGTTTTTTACGTCTTCACAATTTTATATTCCAAAAATAAATGATGTCCGTAGTCTAGGAATTCGCAGTTGCCAGGAGATTAAGCCATATTTCAAGCCAAAGGAGTGGGGGCAGCTAACGTTTCGCGACGGTCCCCGTCGATTGCCAGCGTGCAGCGTGGTGGGGGCCACCGTTCCTATACGGTCGCCGCGTCACGTGACCTGCCCTCCCACTGCTTGGATTTAAAGCGTAGCTTAATCATCCGGCAACCGTGTCCCATTGCTCGATATCGATCGTGGTGCACGCGCAACGAGCCAATAAATATTTCTGCTACGTTTTCAGCGAACGTCTCGCTGCTATACGAACGAAAGAATGTCTGCGTCGAATATCGGCCTCGTCGATTCATATAAATAGTCAACATTATCACAGTGATCCCCGCGCGACAAAAATTCGAACCCGACGGATCCGTCGGCCCGGCCAAACCGCGTGGAAAGACATGTTTTTGTTTCAACCGCGCTGTATACGATTCACAATTTATACATCACTTTAAAATTACTATGCAATATGTATATGTCTATGTATATATATATAATATATGTATAATCTATATTATATATAATATATATATATATTTTTTTATTCAAATATACTCTCTATCTTGGATACTCTATGTTAGGTTAGCGGCCCACTTAGGCCCTTCTCTAAACTAGACGATTCTACTTCAGACGAGAGGATCCGAAAACGAATCCTGGTCGAACGATCGCGACCGGTAAATTCGGATCGCGGATTCGTCCGACCGTTTCTCGTCGATCCTCGAACTACTCGCAATCTCCGACAAAGATAACACAACCCCCGTTCCCGCGCGACCATTCGCAGACTATTCGAACACGAACAATGACAAAATGCGAGAAATTCTTCGAAGCCGATACACAAAGAGAGCAGAACCGAGTAAAATGTCATTCTAAATCGTAGATGGTAAATAAATATTTTGCTTCGCATTGTGCACGCATTTTTCGAAATATTCGAAAAATTATACTTTTCAAATAATATAATATTTGGTCGAAACATTGTTCGAAGTACTTTTTCTTCGCGTTAGGGTAATTATATTAACACCTGGGCGAGGATGATTCCTGAGGTGATTTAAAATAACTTTTTCCTTAGCGAAAATGCGATCCGCCGCTTCGTTTACGAGTTATTCACGAAAAACCGTGACCAATGAGTGATCGCGCACGGCTGACGCCACGCCCACCGCCGCTGAGTCATACGGCCGGCGCGACCGCCTTCGCTCTCCGATTGGTCCACGTTTTTCCTAAATAACTCGTAAACGAAGCGGCGGATCGCAATTTCGCAAAGGAAAAAGTTGCTCGAAATCGCCTCAGGAATCTTCTCATTGCAGCCGCGTTTCGAAAAGTCGCTTTCGATGATCGCGCGGGAGCGAAACGTTCGCGAACGAGGATACTTAACTGACTAGATTCTCTGAACGTTGCTTAAACTACTATTAGAGAGCTATAGAACCGGGATGCTACTGTCGGAGATTTTTCGTTGCACCGAGAACGTCTCTGCACGTCCCATCTCGGGACAAGTCCCCCTAACGTCCCCCTAAGGACACCGGGGCAGGAGTCCGATTTAACCATCGCGGACCTTGAATCAACGGTGAACGATCTTTAACCAGGATCGTCGTCGCGTTGGCCGTCGATCAGCTCGATCGACGGATGCTATGCGCGTCCTCCTGTCGCGGAACGTCCGGCCTTCGCTTATAATTAGTACAAAAATAATCGGGCGACTCGGCTCGCCCGCCGAGGCCTCGAAGAGATCCCGGAAAAGTCCCCGTTCGTTCTGCTGCTCGAATTTTCGCCTTCGTTCGTCGTTTCATCCGCGACGAATATTCGACTTCGGTTTCTTTTTTCTCGAGACGGCGCGATCAGCGTGTCGCTGTCGGCCGATTTCAGGCGAAACCACTGGAATATGCTGGATTCTTGTGCGTGATCGTGATTCTTTCGGAAGAGAATCGTAAACGCGATCGGAGAACCGACGAAACGACGTCGAATGGTCCAAACCGCGGATCCGCGAGATCCGACGTTCTCTTATTCGGCCTGCTGTTTTTCTCTTTTCTTTTTGCTTTTTTCTTTTCCGGCGCTCTCCTCGGGCCTCTCAAAATATTCAACAATACGTTTTACATATCATATTCCCGTTTTATACATGGTTAAATGGGAGCTAACAACGGCATCGCGCCACGGCAACGCAACCGTTCGAACAATTTATACGCTTCTCGATCCGCGTTTCGCCTGCGTTTCGAAACGCGAAGCAATGTCGGTTCGCTGTTTCGCAATGACGGAAATGTATTGTCACATGTATATACGCGGCCGTCTCGAATAGCGTCTATTCGGGAACGCGGTTGCCGGACGATTAGGCCAGATTCCAGGCGGAAGGAGCGGGGTCTTAAAGCGGCTCTTTCGACTCGAAATCCGACTTCGAATCGCTCGGCTGCCACGGTTGTCGCCGTTTTCGATGAACAGCGATCGATCTTTCGTCGCGTTTATTGTTTATGCGGTTTTCTCATCGAAAACGATCGAATGTCGTTCCACAGATCGGTAAACGCTCTCTCTCTCTCTCTCTCTCTCTCTCTCTCTCTCTCTCTCTCTCTGCTCGCTGATCTGATCCGCGAGGAACACTGTGACAGTTTTCCTCCGCAACCGTGCCACTTCTTCGAGTGCGCGCCGCACCTTTGATTTGTAAATTAACAAAAAATGTTCTTCGACCACCGGCCGCAAGTTTGATTTGTAAATGAAAAAAAATGTTCTTCGACCACCGGCCGCGAATGTCAAGAGCGTATACCAATGCGATTAGGATGCTGAAGCGATCGTATAAAGAAATTTGGTCTGGATCAACGAAACCAGTTGTGGCCAGCGAGCGTTTTTTTAACCTCCGCCCGATGCGGAGAAATTTTCGTCGAATTGCTTTCGAGGGAAAATCTTTTCGTTTTAGAACTTTTAGCTCCTCGCTTTTGTGGTTCGTATAAAATGTCGGCCGAAGTTTCGTTTCGCGATTATAATTTGTAGTGTGCGATCTCGTTCCTGCGTCGATCATTTGCCTTGCGATGAATTAATTGAATGAGTTCGTTTCAAGGATTTCGATGGAAATTAATTGGAGCATTAATTTGGAGAATTTCGTGGATTTTCGGATGGAGATCGGATAAAAGTATGTGGGAAGCGAGCAATGCGATGATAGCTAATTTTTTAGCGGTGTTTGACTTCGGAGAAGGTGCTTTTTTACAGCAAAATTGTCTGCAATTCTGTATTACCGATTGTTAATCTAGCGTCGAAAATTAATAACGAATCGAAAATTTAATTCTGTATGATACGAATATTTTATGCAGCAAAATTATCTGCAATTCTGAATTAGCGATTGTCAATCTCGCGACAAAAATTAATAATGAATCACCAATATCAAGAAAAGTTCAATTTACTCCTCTCTTCGAAGATTTGTTTTAGTTGCAAATTGCAACGCAGAACGTCCTTAATCGCGTCGGAAAAGTCGAAAAAATCGCGTCTTAACAATGTACTCTCGCTGCAATTCTTGCTAAATTGTACCAAAAAAACCTCTCCGCGCTATCAGAACTGCATCGAGCCACAGTGCACTAAATAAAATCGTTCCAAAGCCCATTCTTCGTCACAGTGGCGCAGAGATCCTCGAAATTTCCCTCCAACAAACAAAAACAGTCGAAGCAACTAAACATTTGAGCAGCGCAGCGATTACGCCCCTTCGCCGAAGAAAGAATTCCCAGCAAGATTATACCGAGCGACCTTGAAACGACCTCGAGATGTTCACCCTCGAGCCACAGTAATCTCTCGAAAAATCGCAAGGCAATTGTTCGGCAGCAGCAACTGAAACGTGGGCCGAATAGATGATCGAACGAAAGAGCCGTTTTTCAACGAAAAGCGTTCTAACGTTTCCCCGGTTCCCTGTTCATTTTGAACCTGGCTCGCCTGTTCCTCTCCGCTTGGGCGGGAAGACTCCTCTTCCTTCAGGCCCGCTGGTTCACGGGGGTGGTCGACTGGGGTGGCTGGGCGACCACGTGGCGGTGGTTGATGTGCGCCTTGAGGTTTCTCTCGTACTTGGAGCTGAACGCGCAATGGGGACAGTTGAACGAGGGCGCCTTGCCGCACTCGTATAACAGGTGTCTCTTAAGTATGTAGGCGTTCTTGTAGCTCTTCCCGCAGCGGGAACAATTGTGCCGCCGATCGTGGCCGGACCCTGTGATGCTGCTGATCGGTCGGTTATTATTATTGTTGTTATTGTTGTTGTTGTTGTTGTTGTTGTTGTTGGCGGTGGCGTTGCGAGCGGCGTGCCGGGATGGACAATGGAGCCGGGCGCGGCGTTGCGGCGTCAGAGGCGCCGGCACCTGGCCGGCGGCGGTCGCGGCCGCGCTCGCGTTCGCGGCCGCGGCCGCAGCCGCGCGCGGAACGCGCCGCGTTCCGTCCGAGTTCCAGCCGAGGCTCGCGAAGAAACCTGGAAGCAACCGAAACAGAGGTTTCGACGAGGTCGATTAGTAGCTCCACCAATACTACGCTGGCGCTCTACGCGCGGTTCGCTCGAACTTACACACGAACTGCTCTTTACAACGGCGCGGGCCATGCGATAAAAAAGAAAAAACATTCAAGTTCTCAAGCTTTAGCAACAACGAGCATGTAATCGGGATTTTGGGATCATCAACGGGGCAATGATTTATACGTTCTCAATGGAATGGCCGGTGGCGGGGGTGGAGGGGGGTGGTGGTGGTGCTTGTTATTTTTGCTGAGAGAGAGATTCTACATCGGGACGAAGTTCTCCACGGAACGGCGCTGTCGTTCGGCCGCAGGAGACGGTTCTTGCGGGGATGATTATCTCGCTAATGATTACAGGCGTTGCGACACGCTGATGGATCTTTTCTTTTCTTTTTTTTTTTTTGTTTAGCGGAACCTCGGTGGAATTTCGGTTCTTTATGTTTCGTGGTGTTTGTTGTACCTCCTTCGGTCGCCCGGCGGGGCCTCCATTTTGTTTCGGCTGTCCAAGCGCGCGGACGGCCTCGCGCGGATGCCCGCGACACCTGGAACTCAAGGTGTTCGAAGGGTTAATTCGGAGGATTCGAAACGGTTCGGGTCTTTCCAGCCGGCCGGGAACGCTGCAAACAGTTCTAAGTGCGAATGTGTTAGTTTTTCAGTAACGATGAAAGAAAGATTCGCAGGCGGAAACATACGAATCTCTTGTTCGGGGAGATCCGAGGGAACGGGGTTCTTTTTCCCCGCGAAATTTGTGCTTTCGACTGTGAAACAATCCATACTGAACACTAATTTTTCGATACATTTCCGTTTAATGTTCAACTGTAATTTAATACGTAATTTCCCTTTGTCTTTCACTGCTTTCACTGCTGAGGTATACAGGGTATCTCAAAATTATGGTACTTTGAGGGAACCGACGGGTTTCCGAGATCATTCGAAGCAACTTTTCCCTTTACGAAAATTTTCTCCGCCGCTTCGTTTACGAGTTATTAACGAAAAACGGTTGGCCAACGAGTCGCGAGCGCGGCCAACGCTCCGCCCTAGCGGGCGACGCCGGCGGATCCGCGGGCAGGGCGTCGGCCGCGCTCACCGCTCATTGGTCACCGTTTTTCGCCGATAACTCGCGAACGGAGCCGCGGATTGCATTTTCGTTGAGGAAAAAGTTGTTTCGAATGAACCGAGGAATCTCCTCGTTCCTATAAAAGTCGCTTTCGTCGATTTCCGTTTCACTGCTTCGACAGGCTGCAAAACGTCGAGTTCATTCGAGGTGCTACGCTCTTCGTGAATATCCTAAACGACACACCGTTCCTTGCGAAGAACTTGCGGTGGATCGAGACAGTTCCCTCTCTTCGTTGCTGCGATGAGACACGATCTTCCGGGAACACCTGCGAAAAGAAAACGAAGCTAGTCAGTATACGGAAACGTAGCTTTCTTCTATTCACCGAGTTCGGTTCTCTCTTCCAGCGACGTTTTGCTCTTGATTTCCTCGTTAATTCGCAGGCGGGTTGTTCGTTGGTCCGTTGGTCCCCGCGCCGGGGACCGGGCCTCTCGTGGGAGGGGAACAGGGGAAAAACGCCGAAAAACAAGGGAAACACGGACGCAGTGGAATTTTGCCTTTCTAGACTTTATTTTGCTCTAAATCGAATACAAGGCTCTCTACAAATTGACAAAAAAAAAGGAGGGAAACAAGCATTTTGGAATGTTCGAAAAGTCGAAACGATACGTGTACAAAGAAATGAAAAAAAGGAAGCACAGTGGTAGAAAATAGGAGGCGAACGACCGGCCGGTTCACGGCTGCGCCCGGACGAAATTTCGCGGCTTTCAGAAACGATTGATCGATCGATATATATACATGTACATATACATACATATATACATATATATCGAAAGGCCCCGTCGGCCATAATGCTGGATATGCTCGAGCTCGACGGACCGGCCGGTCGTTCCACAAATAAATTTTCACAAGCAAGCGACATTTTTCTTCGCGCGATACAACGAAGCCAATGAACGGCGACACGTCCGTTTTGTGTTTCATTTTTTTTTACCGCCGTTTCGTTGCCGTCGATGACGGCGCGACTCGACCGTTCTCGCGCCTCCGACGTTGCTCGAATTCTCGACGAATTCGCGGCGACAACGCGGCGCATTTTGGTTGCGTTCTCGGCGCTCTTGTAGATATATTTCGTTTTTACTCGCGTCTCTCTCTCTCTCTCTCTCACTCTCTCGCTCTCTATTTTTCTTTATCTTTCTCTCTCTCTCTTTCTCGCTCTCATTCTCTCGCTCTCTTTCGCTCGTTTCTCCCTCTCGTGTCACGTGTGTGTATGCGTGTCTTTACATGCGTATGTGTGTGTGTGTATGTGTTCAGATGTCGATGTGTGTGTGTAAATAAGTGTGCTGCACGCACGCGTATCGGTCGTCGCGATGAGAATAAGAATAAAAAAAAGCGAAAACAAAAATGGATCTAGGAAAGAAATATCGTCGTAGCAGCGTATCATCGTTAATAATTATTGCTCTCTAAAATAATAGTAATATAAAATGGAGAGGAGAAACGGAAGTGTAATTAATTAATTAATTAAATCATCATCATCATCATCATCATCATCATCAGCATCATCATCAGCTTCATCATCATCATCATCATCGTTCGTTGGCAAATACATGGCGACAAAGAAGTGTTTAACGATTACAATGTAATTGTTTCGCGTTTCAGGCGCTCAGCGGAAAGTTGTAGTCTCGCGTTGCTTTTTCTCTGGTTTTTTTCTTTCCATTTTTCTCTCTCTCTCTCTCTCTCAGTTCTTCTCTTCTTTCACGTGCTCTCGGTTCGCTTCCGTTCAATTTAACCACTCTCTCTCTTTCTCTCTCGCACACACACGCTTTCACTCCTCCGCGCAATTCTTCTTTCTCTATGCTCCCCCCACTCTCCCCCTCCTGCGCCCATATGCTCGCGATGTTGTATTAATCAGACGTTCGCACACACGTTATTTTTCACTCGCACTTTTCTCTCTCTCTCTCTCTCTGTTTCGCTCGCTCGCTTTTTCGCTCGCATACTTTCGTTCTCTCAATACAGTCGAGTACTGTGCTTGTACTAATCGTAAGAATATCGTACGTTAAAGGCTCTCGACCACGCGATCCTCTGCGAGCGTGCGCGATGAATTTAGTCGGCGCCGCTAATACTTTTCTCGCTGGCGAACGCGGCACAGCAATGATGGACGTTCGCGCCCCGGATCCGTGGATCGCCGGCTCGCAGAGGGGCTCCCGCGGTCGATCGCCGCTTCTTAACGGCGCGCCGCGAAACGCGTGCGCGGACTGGACCCCCCACTCCCCCACACTCCGGGCGACGGTAGGCCCCGCGCGGTAGAAGAACGGCGGTGCGGCGCGCCGCCGTGTTCGGGCCCCGTCACGCCCGCGCGTCTCGCGGCGCCATCTGTGTGTCACGCAGCCTCGCGGCTCGCTAAATTCGCTATTATTTATTACAGATAGTTGTACTGCTTCTATTCGATAAACAAAAAAAACAAACGAACGAAGGAAATGTTGAGGAACCCGAGTACCGGTGTACTCGTCGTTTTTTATTAAAAAAGAAGGGTTTACACGCGTAACGTACGATTATATATATATGGAGAGAGATAATATATAATGTTATAGTATTGTTGACAATATAATGTAATATATTATATTGGTCTTAATATATATAATATATTAATATATTAATATATTAATAATATCAAGGTTAATATTAATATAATATAATATTAATAATTAATCTGATATATTGATATATTAATATATTAACATATATTATCCTCAATACATATATAATAATACATTACGTTTATAAACACGTGTATAATGTTTACATATATTACAATATTACATTGTATAATATATATAAACGTTCTGCATTGTTGAGAAACAAAAATCGGAAGGATGTTACGGAAGGGGGGGGGGGGGGAAAAAAAAAAAAAAAAAAAAAAAAAAAAGG